GGATTCTCGACTTCATCGCTAACCTCGACGGCAAGCCTGGAGAAAAGCGCGATATTGTGCCTGACGCCGACGGCGGCGTTGGCATCGACCTGCTCGCGACTATTGCCAACCTCGACGGCAAGCCTGGAGAAAAGCGTGACGGCGGGATTCTCGACTTGATCGCCAACCTCGACGGCAAGCCTGGAGAAAAGCGTGACGGCGGGATTCTCGACTTAATCGCTAACCTCGACGGCAAGCCTGGAGAAAAGCGTGATGGCGGGATTCTCGACTTCATCGCTAACCTCGACGGCAAGCCTGGAGAAAAGCGCGATATTGTGCCTGACGCCGACGGCGGCTTTGGCATAGACCTGCTCGCGACTATTGCCAACCTCGATGGCAAGCCCGGCTCCAAGCGTGGTGTTGCGACAGTCACCGAGGCCGACATGGCCAAGCGGTTTGATCTTTTGGATTGGATCGCCAACCTCGACGGCAAGCCTGGTTCCAAGCGCGATATCTCAACAGGCTCGGAAGCGGACATGGCCAAGCGGTTTGATCTTCTCGATTGGATCGCCAACCTCGACGGCAAGCCAGGTTCCAAGCGATAGGAAGCACAACTCTTTTTCACACAGGACCAGTTAGACGAAATGCATGAGGTGATTGACAACCGTCCCTCGCAGCTAGTTGTGTGAACGCGCGATGCGTCTGAGTTGCGCTGGCGCGCATTGTCTGGATATGTATTTTTGTTACTAGGAGGTTGATTGACTGCTCGTCAGTCGGATCCGTTCATAGCGCAATTCAATTGCATCTGTCAAATCTAAAGTCATGTATGAGCAAATGTGAGATCATGGGCAGGGTGAATCGGCAGCTGAGACGACGTAGTAATTTGCGTGCAAGGGCCTGCCAACACTTCCATCTACTCTCATAAGCTTACAACAGGAGCCGTACCTATCGTTGTTCATTTAATTAAACCAAATGACATGCAGTAGTCTTGTCACTCTTGCGTCACTGGTTGTGGCTGTTGCGGCGTATTCAGCTGCTCGTATTCCTCGTATACTTGTAGCTGGCGCTAGAAGTGGGACGCACATTGCTAGTCCCGGTGTTCGGTGCTCACGAGTCGTAAGCAAGACGGTATGGCTCATGGTAGTGTAGCTGAGTAGATTTCGTATATCTCGGTTGGAATGCTGTATGGTGCCCTGCTGCAATGTCATACCTGTTGGTTAGTCTACTGTCTACACATCGGGCGTCGGCGTCGACGGATGCGCGTCCGGACTGCGTATATAGCAGCCATGCTTCCCCAGCACAACGGCCTTTCGATCTGATCATGACAGTCGCATCAATCCACGAGGACAAAGACTGCACGACCATCCGATCATATAGGTACAATGGTTGCGCGGACACCATCTCCAACTTGTGACGCCAGCGGTGGACTAAGGACCCAGCCTCCGCCATACTCTCCAGCCATCAACGCATCGCCATCATCATCTGCGTACTCTCTGCCCGGATATGGTTCTACCTCTACCCTGACAGCATCATCGTTCTCACACACGGCGAGCTATCAGGTCGAGAGCAAGGGCTCGCAGTGGTTGTCGCTGCCCACAGCACCAAAGCTTGACCCCATCACCGTCTACGCCATTGGGCCGGCTGGTGCCAAGACCCAGAAGGTGTACGAGTCGATCCGACCTGAGCAGAGGTCGGGTTCCTGCTCTCTGTATGCGGCTAGATCGGATCATTCTGTCTCATCCACGACATATCGCTTTGGACCAGGAAGACCTCCTGTGATTCATCTGCACTGCAAAAGCCTCGAATCATCGGTAGCAGAGAGCGCGGCACGAAAGCCCGAGGACGAAGGCTTCGAAGTCATGGGCCGCGGCGCCACTACGCGATCCGTACGCATGAGGACACCCTTGGGCACATACCAATGGCGCTACGGCAGGCGCAGCGAGCGCAAAGCCTGCAACGCCGACAGCTTGCTCATCCTTGACAAGGTCACCACCGTGGCATTGGCGGGCGGCAAGACCAAGGACCATTTCACTCGTGTTGCTGAATTCATTCGCAATGACGAGTTTCGGACCCAAGGCACGGGCAAGGCGGATGCGGGGAACGGCGGACGACTCATGATGGACCTGCGAGATAGTGACAAGAAAAGCAGTGAGTTGGAGGTGCTTGTCGTGACGGGGCTCATTTGCATGCTGAAAAGGGAGGTCGATCGGAGGAGAGGGCAGAAGATGCTCATGATCGCAGCAGCGGTCAGCGGGGGCGGCCCATAGTTTGTCATGTCCAATAGTATCTGGTAGTCAGTGATATAAGGGCAGTTTGTTTTGACTTGACATGCATTGCGACATGCTTCCGACTGCCTCTAACGACAACGTCGGGCACGCTCTGCGCGTTGAGCCGAACAGCACGAGCCATAGTTCATCCGCTTGTCACTCGCGCGCCAGTTCACGGGAGCTGTAGACATGCTCTGCGATAGCATAATTGGCGCATTCCAAAATGTCATGGCTTCTGAGGTGAAAAGCCCGGGAATGTACCAGATGTGTTCGTGACAACAACTGCCCCGTGAGTGAGGTGAGGCGCACGGCACGTGACGCGCCGGCATTGTCCGCGGGTGCCTCAGGCCTCCACAATTCCGGGAACACGCCCAGCTCGGGACCTGCAAAGATTCAATTGGAACATCCCAACCGACACCTCCAGCGTAATCACCCTCCCACAATCTCACCACAAACCGCCATCATGTCTGCTGCGTGGAAAGCCGCCGGTCTCACGTACGTCCACCGAACCTCCTGCGACACGCTGCGATGAAGCCGCAGGCCTCACCTCGTCCGCGCCACCGTCGACCGAACCAAGCTAACGTATTTCCCTCGAACAGCTACAACCGCTACCTCGCCATTGCGGCCCGTACCATCCGCCGCAGCCTGAAGGAGGACAAGCGCATCATCGCCGAGCGCCGTGGCGAGTCTGAGCTCAAGTTCGCCAAGTGGCAGGTGAGTCTTGAACCGGGGGACGCTGCGAACATGGAAATGGTGGACAAGGACTGACAAGTGTACCGCTACTGCAGAACGGCAAGGCCTCCGAGATGAAGAACGTCGCCTCCGAGAACGCTGCTGCCATGGCTCAGCAGAGCTCCTAAACGAAATGGTGCAATGGGGATTGGACGAGGGGATGGGATGGCGTGTGAGGAATGCGTGGATGGCCGATAGAGACGGAATAGGCTGCACGTGCAGTAAGGCACTACGACTCGGCGCATGGCCCTCGCCTGCCGATGTATCATAGACGGTTGTGGCAGAATATACCAAACACAGTTGGAATTTTGCTCAATTCACTTTGTATCAAGTCGACAATGTTGGCGCTCCGCTCCTGGGTTATGTGGTTGTCGACGTTCTCAATGATGCCGCCGTCCCGGCTTTAAAATGATTGAATAATTGCACCTGCAGTTGCTGTCCTTATGGCCATAGCTCTAAAGCCCTACCCGGTCGATTCAAACGTTTGATCTCATTGAGTTGGTTGTACTAATTACAGACTGGTGCTTGCTTGGCCAGGTGACCCCTCGGCAAGCCGTTACTCACCAAACCTCGCACCACCATCAACAGCCACGCGACAAGTAGTTGTTGACAAAGTGGTTGCGACGACCGTGGAATTCTCCAACTCACTCCCAGGCACAAGCAACTTGTCGATCGGATGTGTCGGTCGGCCATCTACCATGACTTTCAATCCGGGCATCGATGTACCCGATGGTGGGTCATCCTGGCACTTTTCTACACACGAGCCTCGCGCGATGCTGACTCGATGGATTGTGAACAGAGCTATCCCGTCTCTCTCTTGGGCAGGATACGCCGCCAAGGATTCGGGATGCACCTGAGCTGAACAACACGGGGACGATACCTGTGGACATTACCGAGAAGTTCAAAAAGGCTAGTTCTGGTGGGTGCACACATGACTCCCAGCTGGTCGACAAACTGAGCTGACAAGCACCCAGCCTTACAGCCCGGAGAGATTGTCAAAGATGAGTTCTTCACTCTCTTTGAGTCTGTTGGGGCGTTGGAGGTTAGTGGCCATCCTCTTTATGGCGACAGTATGGAAGCTAAAGCCGCTTGTTCAGATCATGGACCCCAAGATGGACAGTGGTTGTGTTAAGCCAGGCGACGAGTTTGAGGAGCTCTACGATGTGTCAAAGCCGCTTCTGCCGGAAGAGGTGCTCGGAATTATTGACCAACTACTATGCCACGAGGTACGACCGTGTTTCTGGCCCCCCCTTGGAATCGCGCTAATAGAGGAAGATGTCGTGGCATCTTGGGTACCCCCTCTCTCAGACAGTCTTCACGAGTGTTTACGTCGAGTCGCTCATGATGCCTGACCCAACGCACATTGAAGAAGCGGTGTTTGTGCGGCGCGGAGACACACAGGCCGATGCCCAACCCATGTTACAGGTACTCCGGGCCTACTGTCTTGGTATGCTGAAGGCTTGTGCATATGTTAACGAGCGGGTCAAGTCCGAGCACTACTATGAGGTATGTTTGATCTGAGAGATGAGAACCATTCTGATTGCTCGTAGGAGGAAGACTTTGTAACCAACACATACAACCGTACGCTTCTTGGGAGTCTGTCCACCGCGGATATCCGCGCTGAGCTCAACGATGCGGCAAATGTTGTGCAGAAGCAACGGGAGCACTTGGGCGGAGAGATAAGCGAAGCTCTATCCTCCCGGCTCAAGCTGAGGGACATATTCTTGTCCGCTGCCGAATGCCCCCAATTTGTAGCACAGCCAGATCTGGCTCGTCAGCCGTGGGAGACTGCTCTGATGCTCCTGCCAACGATCAAAGCAACACATGGCCTGTCCAAACAAGTGGACGAGTCTTTCAGCGTCAAGCTCCAGAGGAAACTGGCCAGTACTGTGCCGCCACGGCCAATTGTGAAGCTCAGCTTTGAGAATGCCTTTGGCCATCTGGATCGCCTCTTCAAGGACGGCTGCGAGCTTATCAATGTGCTCAGCTATACAAACTCTCAATGTTTACAGGTAAACACCCCAATGCAAAATGGAGCTTGCGCAGAACTGACAAGTCTTGTCAGACATTCCTACGCCATTTTCAGGCCAAGAAACCGCAACCTCTCGTCTATGTACGGACCCTACTCCAAACATTTCTCTTCGACGCCATGGAAATGCTTGGAGGAATGAGCATACGTATGATTATGGATGATGACCTCGCAATCGTCTCCCTCCCCGCAAGCCCTTATCTCGACCGCGCAAATGACGATATCGAGGTTCTACACGACCCGCGGTTCATCATCTCGCAACAAATGGAGGCATTCCGGAAGAGGGCAGCGGAGCCATTCCTGGACATATTCCGCACGTTTTGCCAGAACCGCTGCCGCGTAAGGAGGACCCTCTGCCACAACATTGAGAGATGGGACCAATTGCAGGCCGATGCAGAACAACTCGACCTCGAATTGCAGGCCAGAGCGCAAGAGGTGAACCTGGCCGGGCAGAAGTTTTCGCCCAACACCATCCCGGTGGAGGATGATGCTTGGTCCTTATCCATGTGGACGTATCTCTACAAGCTCCGTCAAATGGAGTGGATCGTGCAACTCGGATTTGAACTGGAGGTCTATCAGCCAGACGAGCTGGCCGGCATGTATTGGTATCTCAGCTACCTGTCCAAGACTCGAATCGAGTACGTGCCTCGGCTGCGGAAAACCCTGACAGAGCGAGTCAAAGACCTCCGCGAATCCCCGGCCCAGAACCGGCGGAACCCGGCTGTGGAGAGGCAGATGCTTCGGACACTCGAGTGGATCAGGCTGTCGCTGCTCGACGCCGTCGTCACATGGGGCCTATCCGAAGCATTGGCAAGTCTATACACGGCATGCAGCCGTCTCGAGCTTCTCACCCCGCCACCCCGTCCGTACAGTAACGACGAGCTCCGCTACGAACTGCGGATGAAGCCCTTTGCGAAGATTGAGACTCCTGGACCGATCAGCTTCGAGCAGTTCGCAGCCCATACGTCGCAGCAAGGTGTAAGCACCGAGGAGCTCTTGCTGGAGGCATCGAAAGCTATGACAGACGCCAAGAAGGCTTGTGAGTCGATGAGCAAGATGACTCCGGAGGAATCCTTTTCGGTCGGCTCGCACGACAGGTGGCTGGCGTCGATCAAAAACACCCTGAAATCATGCATTGCTACAGGCTTGGCGATAGCGACCGTGCAGAAGGCGATGCGGGAGGACACGAGGGGGGGGAAGTTGAAGCTGACGGTGGAAGTACCCACGCCTGACAAAACATATCATGAGTGGTGGATAGTGCCGAAGATCGCACCCGAGTCAACGTGAATAGCATTTACATTCATACATCTATGAAACCGCCGCAACGACGGGCGTGTGGTATCATTCGTCAGGTTATGCACTGTGACCGGTGCTTGCCATGTTTTCGTTTCTCTAAGAGGAAGAGAGAGAGAGGGAGAGGGACAATTTTTGGCGTTGGTGATTCTCTCCGTCTGCATGAAGGGTGCTCATACAGAAAGATGGTATTCCATCTGGATCATGATGGAAATTGTCCTTAGGCTCCCAGGCGCTTGCGCATGCGGAGCTTGACAGTCTGCTCGTACAGCACATCCTTGAAGGCGAACAGGAAGGCCGCTGTCAGGACACTCTGAGTGACCTTGGGGCCGATGCCTAGCCATTTGTTTAGTCAACTGATGCCAATGTGCACGGGCCTCGAGCACTCACCTTTGTAGAGACCGGCGTAGCCCTCAGATCGGACGACACGGCGCAGGGCCTCGGTCATGCCCTCCTTGCGATCCGAGTGCGCTGCGACGTGCATCTGGCTCTTGACGGTGATGTAAGGGTAGGTCACCGAGGTGGCAAAGAGCTTGCCCAGGGCGCCCAGGAAGAAGGCGATTGTGGGCGTGACCTTGCGCTTCTTCTCGACAGCGTTCTTCATCTGCTCAAAGAGCGTGTACTGGAGAATGGGGTTGATGACCAGCACCAGCGCAGGCAGGACGCCCGCGAAGAGAGCCTGAGGCCCCTCATTCTTCAGCAGGGCCATGAGGGTGCCGATGGTGCTGGGTGCACGCGTGGGCTTGGTCTCGCCGGATTCCGGGTCCACCTCGGTGCTCTGCTTCCGGGTGGTGACCCTGGTGTTGACAACCCAGATGGGGTTGGTGATGATGACCGTGGCGGAGCCGGCGATCGCACCGGCGATCATGCTCTCGATCGTGGTCAGCTTCTGGCCCGCACGACCGGCCTTGATGGCGGCGCGCTCAAAGGAGCCGCGGGTCCATTCGTACCAGTAGTAGTACACAAAGTTGGTGACGCTGATGCCGAACAGGGCCGAGTTGATGCCCGAGTACAGGCCCGAGGCGCCCTCGCGCGCGATGATGTTCTGGACGGCGGCGAGGAAATTCGATTCGGCCTTCTTGGACTCGACTTGGGCGCGGGTCGAGAGAGTGATGAGGGGATATCTGGGGTCGTTAGTCTGGCTGAATGGTTCATTGCTAGCACGTGGGAGATGTCGCACGTGAGGACCATGGACAAGAGTCCGCCACCTGCGCCAGCGAGGGCATGGGCAACGTTATCATTCTGGGGAATTGGCGCTTTGGATGCCATCTTGCGATTCGTAGACTTGTAGTTTGAGTGTATGATACGTGGGAGGGTGGACGGGGAGCGTGATAGTGGATTGTGTCGAAGTTGGTACGTGGTTTAAATGATTGGGATCAATTCGGTTAATCACTAATTATATGAGCCGCACGCCTTGGAGAGGGAGGATCGACGAGGGAAGCGCCCTGGCGATACGCGACTCAGCCGAGGTCATATTGGTCTGAGATGCCGACGCCGACGTTGACTGGCGTGTGGAGGCTTTGGGGGGTTTCCCGACTCCCTCCCTCACTGTGACTGGGCCCGACGTCACCTGCTGCCGGCGCGCTGCATGTGACGATTGTGGGGTAAACCTTCAGGAAAGCGGATGAATTATTTGCCGACCGACAGCGGCTCCGGTGGAACCTTGTTGCGGTGAACCCCTATGACGCTAGACCGGAAGAGGTCACGAGTAAACAAAGCCCAGCCCAGCGCATCGTGCTTCGGCACTCTCCACACACACACCACATTGCTCACCGACCTGTCTGACCTTGATTAGCGCCCCGTAGTGCAGTGAATTCGAGTACGTACTGCACGTCGTCGCGTCTTGCTCCGGTGCTTCAACAACATTCACAGCACATGTTGCTAGTACCTCGCTTGCCATGTGGCTGCCCTGCCGAACGTTCCACGTCCATGTCTAGAGCAACCATCCACCAATGTTCAAACGTCGCAAGTCGGGCCCCATCGTAACCGACACCGCTCCCGAGAATTTCAGCGTGCGCTGGCACGCGATCGCGAACCCAGCCACGTCGAGTCTCGACATCATGTCCTCCCCGGACCCCCTCAACGAAGAGGACTCGTACTTTGCGCCACCGTCTTCTCAACGCTCAACGCGCAGTCGCCTGTCGCCGGTTAGGATGAGAAGCGACTCGCCCCGGAAACAGCAATACGAGCTCGAATATGGGGATTATCGATCGCGGTCCAAATTGCTGGTCACCCTCGAAGCGCAGGATGATGCGCCGCCGAGCGCGACTGCGAGGAAGCTCTATTCGGCGAGCCCATTCGCGCACCGCGCTCTGAGCGCCACCACCATGAGGGTGCCTCTCAAGCAATCGGTCGAGGAGGAATCTGGACCTGGAGGTGACGCGACACCGCGGAAACGAGGTCGACCGAGGAAGAACAATGGAACCCCATTGCCCAGCGCCGCGAAGAAGAGAAAAGCCGCGACGCCATTGAGGCCAGACGCGAAGCGATCGAACACCGCGACCGAACCGGACCCGTTGTCGGGTGCCGAATCACAAACCGCGCCAGTTTCAGCAGCGAAGAGTAGCCAGCTTCATTCGCTCAAAACTTTAATACAGCCGTCGAGTGACCTAGGGGTCGGCGTTGAGCCCTCGTCTGACATGGTATCGATACCGACTCCGACACCAAAGCGTCGCGGCCGCCCGCCGAAGAACAAATCTGCCGAACCGTCTTCGGTCGCAAAGGAGTCAGCTAAAGCAACTCGGCGACGACGTCAAGCGCTTCTACCCGAGGATTTGGAGGCCATAAACGAGGCGATACCTGAGGAACCCGAGTTAGCACCTGGAGACGACACGAACCAAACGGGCTTGCCCTCACTTGCCGTGGGACCAGAACACCAAGAAAGATCTTCTCCTCAGGGGCCAGAGTCGGATATTTGGATGAACACCATGTCGAACCAGGAAACACCGCGGCCACGATTGCCCACGCTGAAGCCACCATCTGGTGCTCGGGCAAAAAGTCACATCTCCATACCTTCATCCGCAACCAGCGAGGCGGATAGCGAAACATCCGGACATGAAGGATACGCCGCAGACGCGCCGTCCATTAGCGATGCCGGCTCCATCATGGACGCCCCGACATATCAGGGCCCGAGAAACGATACCATTGCACAAGAAGACTTTAGCATGATATTTGTGGATTCTATACACTCGTACCAAGAGTTTAAGAGCTCTGCTGCCGGGAAAGCTCCCACAAACCTCAGCGAACTTGATGAAGAGGAGGAAAGGATTGTTAATACGACTCTAGAGTCTCTGCGGCAAAGTCGCGGCAGTGCAATGGCGGAGGACTCAAACGTTGACTTGTTCGAAGACCAAAAAGACCCACAGGAGGGTAGAGTCGACCACGCTGATGACAACACTGCCAACATGGAAATGCATGGGCTTGAGACGGAACCCGAGGAGCGTGCGGTCTTTAGTGCCCAACAACAGGATCGCATGGCGCTCGATGCTGACAATGATAATGGCACCATGCATACAGAGGTCATGGTAGAACCTGAACAGAGTGGGAGCAAAGACATGGCGGAAGAGATTGTCGAGGACGAGTTGAGCCCTAACGAGGACATTCCCATACCGATCCTGACGGAGCTTCCTGTCCCGCCCATCGAGGAGCCCGTACTCTCATCCTCCCCAGCGACAACGTATCAGGAGCAGGCAGAAGATCCAGCGCCACTCATGTCTTCCGCTGTGCAAGCATCCCATCGGGGCTTTTCTCCAAGATGGCTACGCACTCCTCGAGGATCGAACGTTTCGCCGTTGCGAAGGAGGGCACTGGCTTCCACAGCAAAACAGAGCAGGCCGACACCGCTTACCGAAGAGGTTGGAGACGAGGACACGCGGATGTACAGTTCGCCCAGCAGGCGGACCAACAATGACTCAAACCTCTACGAGGACTCCTTCTCCGAGATTCCACCAGCTATACTGGAAGCGGCGACGCCGGGACGACCCAAAGTGCAGCCCGAAGCAGAGATGGAGTTGGATAGCGAGAATGGAATGGGTGAGGAGATTGGAGAGGAATATGAGGACATGGAACTTCCACCACAAGAAGACAGTTCACGTCACGTCGAACCAGTAGAGCATGATCCAAGCGAGGAAGCGCGGGACCCAAAGGTCGAGCCATTCCAAACGAGATACGCTCAAGATGTGCCGGCTCAGGATGAAACTGTTGTTGACGCGGTTGGAGGATTCGCAAATATTGAGGACGCTCGTTCACCACAGGAGACTGAGCCCGAAGATCAACGTGAGCTCGGGATTAGGGATGATGCGCCAACGTTAGGGCCTGTTAGCACAGATCAGTCCCACGTCCAAACTCAAACCCAGCCTCGAGCATCTTCTGTGGTCAGTTCCGCGCACACAGAAAGTGGGCGACTGCCTACACCAGACGATACTCCTGAAGACGCCCAGCCGGAAGCTCCTCAAAAGGTACCCGGGAGTCTGTTGGCTGATCAGGCCGCTGCCCGCAGCGAACCTGATGTTCAGCTCCAGGACGAGCTCGCTGAGTCACCGCAAGCTGTGGAATATCTACAGCCATCCCAAGGGGCAGTCTCACCTGAACGAGACTCACGGTTACCGGAGATCACACCGCTTCATCAGTTGTCATCGCCAGCCCAGGAACCTCAGTCCGCGGGGAGCCAAAGTACACAGGACAAGGCACCAAGACCAGCTCTCTCTGCTATTGTCAGAGCTGGCAAAGTCTTGCAGCATGTTACGTCTGACCCACCCTCGCCCGAGGACCATCAACCACAGCTCAGAAGTCCCTTCAGGAGTTCGGCGAGTAAAGAGTCCTGGTCAGGATCTCGTGATGCAGCAAGCGGACGCCGTCTCAGCTCAAGTCCTACTCGGCGGTCTACTAATGGCCATCGCCGCACCATATCGACGGAGCGCCTGGGTGAGGACCCCTTTGGCGCAGGCTCGCGAAGCACGGGACAAGGCAGCTTTATGCAAGCCCTCAACCGTAGCATGAGCGAACACGCGAATAGAACCCCGGGTGGTGCCGAGGGCTCTACGGCCAGTTCTATGCGCATCACCCCACCGGATGATGAGATGAGCTGGGTGGCCGAGGCTGGTCCCATTGATCCAGGTCTGCGTGGAGACATCTCACTGCAGGAAGTTGTTCACTTGAGAAATCACCCGTCGCGGTCGGAAGAGCTCAGGCAAGCCAGTGCGCAAGGTGGCCTTCCCCCTGGCGATGACGAGACGGATATATGGGAGTTTGAGGCCTCTCGCGGAGAGCCTGATGAACCTGTTCCTCATCAAAAGCTGTTCGAAGGGAGTACAGCGGCGCCGATTCACCAAGAAGTGTCTGTACCTAGCCCACGGGCCAGCCGCAGAAACTTTGCACCCAGGGCGAGCGTGTCGAAGCCGGAAGTCCCGTCGGCGAGAGCTACTACCAAGGCAATGCCAGCGGCCGCTCAAGAAGACGAAGAAGAATATTCATTGCTTGACAAGGAGAAAAGAGCAGCTGAAGCTGCCCAAGCGCCCCCAACTGCGTCAAAGCCCCGTTTTGACCTATCTGCGTTCTTCTCCTCTCCGGCATCGATTCCAGGGATGATCGCGGACAGGCTCTTCCCGGCAAAAGGTCAGGCTGCAAGCGCGACTAAGAAGAGAGCTGCTGTACCAACCAGCAGCATGTTTCCATCAGCACCCCAGCAACAGCCTTCTCGACCTACTAGCGAAATGGAAGCTATGTCCTCGTCGCCAGTGCGTGTGCAAAGTCGCCGGCCTCCTCCGCAAGTGGAACAGATATCGACCTCACCTGGGACACCCGAAAGGTTAGAGAGGCCTGTTCCTGCGCGAAGGCTAAATCCTATACCCCAGCAGAGGAGAGCGAGTACCTCTCGTGAAGCGACCTCCACGGTCCCCTCGACAATACCAACTCCGCCTCGCATGCAACTATCGCACGAGGATATTGCGCGATGGCAACAGGAAGCCTCACAAGCGACGAGCAGCTCAGAGTCCAACGGATCGCCACGTCGCTTTCTGCGCCCTCTTCCCCCGAGGAATGCTTCGCCCAGCAAGTCGAATATTCGGTCACCCCTGAAACCCCGTACCCCTGGGAGAGTTGTCGAATTCACGAGTAGCGTGCTCGAACCAGCGGACGAAGCGCTGAAGGGCCAAGAGGAGCAACAGCAGCATCGCTCGAGGCAGCAGCGTCCGCTTGCACTAGCAGAACCGGGCAAAACTCCAAGCTCACAGCCGGCGCAATCCACTCATGTAGTCAATGAGCAGGAGAACCAACGACCGCCGAGCGTGCGGTCATCGCGATTCGTGCAGAGCAGGATTCATCCAACCGAGCTCTCCCCTGCCGAATGGTCCAAGAGGCACTGGACTTTGCTTGACAATCTGCTCAAAGCACGTCGCAGCTCTCCATTCCCCTTGGCAGCACCAAGACAGTCAGGCAAGCTCCTTGGCAAAGTGTTCAAGGCCAAGGGGGAGAGCATTCTCATAGAACGATGGCACCTCGACATTGTTGATGCATTTTGCGCTGAGGTAGGCGGATGGGATGCACAGACGGTGTGCAAGAGACTGTTCTGCCTCGTTGTCAACGAGGAGAGAAGCGTGCAGAAGCAGCGTGCGCGTCAGTTGCAGAAGCAAAGAGAACGAGAACATGATGCGATCATGTTTCACTAAAGGCATGGAAAGAAGAAGCTTCCTTTTGAATTACGATGAAACGTCTTGCATGGAAAAGGGGATTGGCGTTCTGGATGAAAAGGGTGCATCTTTTGATCTCGAGTCTGGCCTTTGGAGATACCAACTTGGCTTTCATCACTGCTTTGTACATACTGTATGGCCAGTTTAGAGGCCTGGACACCAGCGAGGCGGCAATTTGACATGATATCACGACCGCGAAACAAAGAAGCTGAACCTTTTGTGACTTTGGTGCGAGGGATACCCACGCTCGTGCACGCATGCATGGTTTGTTGATATGAGCCTGCCTTTCTAAAAACGCCTCCCCCTTTCCTGGCCACCCTTGTCTACCGTGACATTGCTCAAATACATTACAAGCAAGACCTGCCCGTGCCTCCTCGTCCTACTCTACTCCAGCTGCGATGCCTGGTTAATGTACAGAGCATCAACGACATTGCTCAGCTTTTCGATAGTCTGGAGGGCCGCGTCGTAGGACTCATCACGGTCCGTCTCATCGTAAATGATGAGGCAGCCTGCACCCTGGTCCAGCACACCAATGATGACCTTGTCGAGGATCATCTGGGACAGCTTGCGCTCCACTTGCTGCGTGTCGAGCCCGACCATCTTGGCAATGTGGTCAATCTCCACGCGGGAGAAGGGCTCGATGACCTTGATGAGGTTCTGCTCGAGCATGGCGTCGTACAGTCGGCGAAGGTGGTTGCGGATAAAGGCATCACTGCCGAGTTCGTAGCGGTACGAGGAGAGGGCCCTCTCGTACTCCTCGAGGGATCGGTTGGAGTGCGCGCGGGCAATGGCCTTCATCGCCTCGAGGTTCTGCCCTGCGTACTTGAGGGCTTGCTTGGACGTCATCAGCTGGTTGACATCTTCGCTCAAGTTGAGCATGATCTTGCACAGGAGCATGTACTGCAGCGCGGCCTGCGCCTTGCTGCTCTCGTCCAAGCTGTGGTAGCCATCTAGGGCCTCGATAAAGTAGGAGAATGCCGTGTTGAAGTCCTTATCTTCAGCGTGCAGCATGCCACTCTGCATATCGAGGTTGGCCTGGAGCGCGGGCGGGGTGTAAACGCTCGCGGCGCTTGTGCGGGCGCTGGTCAGGGCCGCACGGGCTTTGGGGATGTTGCCGAGGGCGTGGTAGACGCGGGACTCGAGCAGCTGGACCTCAACAAGGCGGAGCTTGTCGTCTAGGCGCTTGAGCTCCCGGAGGAGGCCGTTGATGAGGGTGAGCGCATCGTACCAGCTCGCCTTGATCATGTACAAGGCGACCAGGCGGACTTCGAGGTCCTGGCGTTGGAAGGCGCGTCGTTCGGCGGTGGCCCATTCTATGCAATCCTTTGTCACGGCGACTTCGATGTCTGTGCTGTTGGGTATCTCTTTGAGAAGGTCAAGTAGCTGACGGACTGTCCTAGGTCAGCGAGGTTGTTCGTTCAAAGAGTCGAGAGCTGGCAGGCAACATACCGAGCTTGGCTGACTTGGCTTTGGCGAATGACGAAAAGACCGCCCGGCTTTCTTTTATCAAGTTGACCAGTTCGTCTGTCTTCCTATGGCACCTGTCAGCGTGTTGTTCTGCGCGATCCCGCCCTGGGGGCAGTCATGTGCACGAACTTGTCGTCTCTGTACAGCTCGCCCAAGCCTACGAGGGCTGTCTCGTATTCTCGCGTCGCCGCATCAGACCCTGCCCTTGGCGCCTTCGATGTGATCTCCTTGTACAGAGCCTCTGCCTTCTTCGAATCCGTCTTGGCTAGGTTCTGAGCCTCCTTGACTCGCTCCGAGTCGCCAGCCGCCATGGTGGATGTTTGTGGTGGTAAAAGAGGAATGAGGCTACAGGTTCTGTTTCTGCAGTGTGTCCTTGGTCTCTGCAATCCAGATCGTACTGTTGTGGTGTGTGAGGCGTTAAGAGTCGTCGTGTCAGTGGGTGGGATGGTGATGATGGAACAATCTCGAGCTTGAGCTCCACACGAGCATCGATCATCCAGCAAGCGCAACTCCAAACGAGCAGGCAGGGCGACGACGTACGTCCAAGTGAATGGAATGATCGATTGGTCAAACAGGATCCACTCTACTACCTGCGCGGACTATACTTTGTTCCGCCCGAGACCTCCGCGACCGGCTACGCGCGGGCGTCGGCAGTAGCGACCGACAGGACTCTGTGAGGCAAGACGATGTCCATAAAATTTCAGACCCTTTCATACAATCATCAATCCACGCGATCACTACGCCACCACCTCATCCTGCCATTATTCTACCTCTCCGATCACCACAAATCCTCCAAAATGTTCCGCCAAGCATTCTCTACTTCTTCCCGAGCTCTGCGCGCTGGCGCGCCCAAGACCTCGGCGAACCTGTCCCTTCTCCGCCCCCAGTACCGCACAGCAGCTCCCGCATACTCATTACGCGCCGTCCAGCCCGCTTCGTCGCGGTGGTATAGCGATGCCACGACAACCAAGGAGGAGGCAAAGACCGAGGAAGGCGCCACTGCTGAGGCTGATCCCCTGGCACAATTGAAGAAGGAGCTGGAGGCCAAGGAGACCGAGGCCCGCGACTGGAAGGTTTGTGTCCCTGCTACACTGCCACATGGATGTATTCTCGACTAACCCGTTTTGCAGGACAAGTGCCTTCGCACCGTGGCCGACTTCCGCAACCTCCAGGAGCGCACCGCTCGCGAAGTCAAGGACGCGAAACAGTACGCCATCCAAAAGTTCGCCAAGGACCTCATCGACAGCATCGACAACTTTGACCGTGCCCTGACCACCGTCCCTGTCGAGAAGCTCAACAAGGACAACCCCGACCTCGCCAGTCTGCACGAAGGTGTCCAGATGACCGAGACCATCCTCATGCAGACCCTCGCCAAGCACGGCCTGGAGCGCGTATCCCCCGAGGGTGAAAAGTTCAACCCCAACGAGCACGAGGCCACCTTTATGGCCCCGCAGCCCGACAAGGAGGACGGCATGGTCTTCCACGTCCAGCAGAAGGGCTTCAAGCTCAACGGCCGCACCCTGCGTGCTGCCAAGGTCGGCATCGTCAAGAACAAATAAACAGCGCCCATAATCAGTGAGCGAACGAGGAGCTCTCGTGGCCCACCACCACTCCACCCTGTAATTTCGGGGCGCGAGGGTTTTTCGTCATGTTGCGTTGTTGTGTACTATTAGATGGTCAAAGTTTCTCAAACAGGCGTTGAAGGGCTGCAGCCGTTGTGTATAATGCTCCTCTCATGATCTACGGTGTCGTTTACGTCTTTTTGTCATTGCATGGCGGTTGCAATATATTTGGGGGGAGGGATGAACTGTTATGAGTCGTCACACCAAAATGACTTTGTACGATATAAACCAGGGGTCGCTCTCGGGCACTCGCAGGATCTGGAGTGTATAATTGGGAATATATCATTGACGTGGTCGTCACACTCGACCGACAACCGCCAACCTCTGCGTTCTCATCATCGCTCTCGCTGAAGTCACTCATGGGCCCCAGGGGCGACAGCCTCGTCGTGATCATAGGCGGAATGTATGGTGAGTGAAACATACGATCCTGTAGACAGGCCAAGTCATTGTGAAATGATGTATTCTAAACTAAATCGCTTACGGTTTACTTGGTCGTACAGCATGCTCTTGTTCGTTAACACCTTGACAAAAGGAACCAACGTAAACCAATGGCTAGACGCGTCCCGTCCCATGCACCAGGAATTATCCCAGCTACGAAGATTGATAGGTTCACAGATTGAATTAATCGCATTCCACATATAGACCGCGACATTGACGGCCTCGAACACAGTATATACCATACAAGCCATTAGTCTAGCAGTGGCTCAAGCATTATCCACATCCATTCCTGTGGCGATGATATAAAATGCAACCATTGGGGGGGTTTAAGACAAACAACCCATCTTACTTGGCCTTTCCTTTCCCAGTCGCAGCCTTGGCCTTGCCGTTGCCCTTCTTGGGCTTGTCGACATCGTCCTCATCATCTGCGGCCTTCGTGGCCTTCTTTGCTGGTTTCTTCGCCGGCTTCTTCTTGGGAGCTTTGATCAGCTTGTCCTTCTTCAAGTCAATCTCCTCGTCTTCTTCTTCGGCCGGCTCCGCAAGCTGAGCATCATCTTCCTCCTCAATTGCCTCCTCCAGGTCAGGGGCGTCCTTAGCCTGCTGCTTCGGGGCAGTGACGTTGCTTGCTTTCAGGAACGGAATAGGATGGCTTGCGGCGTTGTAACTGTGTTTTGTTAGCACGTTGCCCTGCATGATGGGAAAATGTCGAATCACTTACATCCTTGTAAAAGCAGCCTTAGTCTTAGTCTCGATGTTCACACCCTCTTCGGCCATGTAGCCGACGCCGAGCTCCTGGATGGCATCGAAATCATCGCGTGTGAGGTAATAGCTATCCATAAGCTCGATGGCTTCTGGAATGGCTTCACTGCCAAAGAGCTGGAGCTTCTTGACGAGTTGGTTCCACAGCACAGGCATGTACTCCTGACGAATCTCATTATGATCGCCGGAAGACTTGAGGCGCATGTGAGAGTGTATCTCGCGAGTGAACCGTCCGAGCTTGCCTGTCTTGCTGTTGTTGCCAAGCCAGGAGGTGAAGTTGGAGCCCATCAACATTCCAGACACGTAGCTGGCAGGTCTGACAGTGCTGAAGACGGCGTGTGTAGGCATCAGAGACCATTGCTGTTGAGGACCGTGAATCATCCTATCGACCAGGTCACCATCACTGATGCTCTCAGCGGCCGCATCGTATAGCTCCAACGCCTTGAGACGCTCTTCGCGTTGCGTGTATCCCTTATTGTTCAACAGCACTGGCTTTGTGCGGAGATAGTTCTCTTGGATCATCAGGTAGCTGAACTCGTGGTCGTTGAAATAGAGCTCAATCTTGTCGTTCAGGGTCGCCTTGCTGGATTCTGCAAACAAGCCTCCACCCAGCATTTTCTGACAAATGTCCCATGGTTTGAGAACAACGTGCTTCTCCCATGCCTTGGACATCTTTTTGGATTGATCATAGTCCATACTCGTCTGATCAAGCTTGGCGGTCGAGACCATGTTGATGATTTGTCGGATATCCTTGTTGCTCCCCTCGATAAGAGCGTCGATGACAGGCACGGGTAGTTTCAGGCCTTCCCTGAGACAGATTGTCATGATGCGAGAACGAACTTGTTCAGTGGTAGGGCGGTTGAAGCGAATGTCAAAAGCCACATGGTCGAACGGCTTCATCTTGGGCAACTTGCGCTCGTTGCAAATGAGGATTAGGGGCACTTCGGTCTTGCGGCAGAACTTTGCCAGGGCGCCGACGCCACCTCTGTCACCTGCGGACATGCCATCAACCTCGTCCATGATGAGGACAATGTGCTTCTTGGCGGTATCTACGCTCTTGCCCGTGCCAGCAAAGAATCCCAGCAGCGAGGTGTTGTTCATGACATCGCTCACGCCGTTTTCGACGAGCTTCTTGCTGCGCGTGTCACTGGCGTTGCTCTCGAGCACATCATAGCCCGCGAGCTTTGCAGCCAGATGTGCCGCGGTGGTTTTGCCGATACCTGGTGGCCCCGACAGAATTAAGGCGCGCTCGCCACCCAGCCCGTCAGCCCCCCTTTTCTTGAAGTCGTACTTCTTCGATTTCTGCCAGTTGTTGAGCCAGCTTTGTATCTTCTCCACGTTGCCCTTGTTGCCGCAGATGTGGCTGAGTTGTGTTGGTGCATATTTGGATGTGAGAAGCTGGGTCGTGGAGTCGACTGTACCTTTGGGCTTCGGCGCGCCCCTGGCCTCAGCTTCCTTATCTGCTTTGGCCGCTGCTGCCTTCTTTGCCTTTTCCTCTTTTTCCATCTCCGCAGCTTGCAACTTGATCTTTTCCTCGTCCGCTTTCTTCTTCTCGGCGGCCTTGGCTGCGCCCTTTCCTGAACCGCCGCTGGCGGGCAGTTTCCTGATGAGGTCGAAGAGTCCATTCTCGTCAATCGTTTTGATGCCCTGCGCCTTGATCTTGGCCAGCTTACTGGGGCCCGCATCTTGACCAAGGACTACGAAACTGGTCTTGCTGCTCGGTGTTGTTGTCACCTTGCCACCATATTTCTTGACAAGCGCTTGGGCGTCTTCACGGGTAATTTGCTGCAAGACACCAGTAAAAACAAACGTCAGGCCGATCAGGCAATCCTCCTCGCCCTCCGGCATCTCGTCTAACGGTGCTGAAGGAGCTGACGCGGAGTTGCCGCCTCCAGCCTTTGATTTGCGCCAGTCGAATTTGGCCCCGTCCTGGGGTGGTGGTGTCGGAGCTCGGACCGTAGCAACGCTGTTAATGATGCTCTGGTATTCGGGGTCCTCGGGGTCCGCAGCCTTTTGCGTCCTCGGAGCTCTGGGTTTGGCTGCTTTCTTTGGAGGGGCCTCCTCTTCCTCTTCCTCGTCGTCTTCGGGAGATTTGCGCTTCTTTGCGCTTGCCGCATTTTTAGCATCTTCCGCTTTGTTCTTACTTCCCGCTGGCCGACCTCTCGCGCGTTTGGGCTGTGGTATGTCTTCCTCTTCCGATTCGGCTTCCTCGTAATCGTCCGTCTTGCGTTTGCTGCGACCCTTAGCATCCGCTGCAAAGATATCGTCGTCCTCATCGTCCTCTTGGACGGCGTAAGCGTCCTTATCGTCGTCCGATTCTATCTTCGTGTAGCTTTTGGTGTTTCGCTTCTTCGTGGGAGTCTCGTTCTTCGCAGGCACTGGTGCCTTCGGGGCAGCCGGTTTGCCTCGTGGGCTCGCCCGGACGGGAACCTCAGTAGTCTTCTTGGCTGGTTCGGGGCGGGCTGTTTTGTTGCCCTTGCTGGACGCGAAGTAGGCATCTGCAGATATCGCCGTGCCTTTGGGTTCGGCATCACTGGCCTGATATTTAGCGGTGGCCACAAAACAAATCAACGCATATAACCACATACACTGCCTTCTTCTTGGGCGCGGGTTTCGCGGCGGGTTTCACCCTTGAGAAAGGTCAGTGAAGCAACATGATGATCACTCTGGAGTGCATCTTACTCGGCAACATCATCCTCATCACTGTCCTCAACAACTTTGCGTCCCCCTGTGATTTGAGTCAGCGTTCGCAATCAATTTGAAAGCCATTTCACTGACTGCTCCGTTTTTTGGTCCCAGCATCGTTCTTGGGAGCTGGTCTATCTGGCGGGAGGGCAGCACCACCCTTTGGCCCAAAGAAGGAACGGATATCAGGCATTTTGTCGGATAAAATGGGCAGCCGAAGACCAACACAAGAATTGGGCCCAAGCAGTATTTGTACAGCCAAGAATGTGTCGCGCGAGACCTTCTGTATAGCCAGGCAGAGGTGGCAGCCTAAGGTGCACGCACGTCAAGACTCGAAAGTGACGGCACCATCCCGAAATCTGACGACCAGAGCAACGCGAACGTGACGCGAAGAAGTGGGACAGCCTTAAGTGCCTTGAGAAGCGGCAGGCGCAGGGGATCGTTGGCAGCCTGACCAGTCAGGCGCCAGGAAAGTGCTGCTCCACCCTGTTGCTTTCAGGTTTACAGAATTTCTGGAGCTCATCAACGACGACGACGACGACGACAAGCGTTCATGGGTATCCAATTCCATAATAACCCAGCACAATGAAACCTGCGCACTCTTCGACACTGGTCGGCGCTCTTCGGAGCTTGTCGCTGGGCAATGCGCCGGCCCTTCAGACTGCCCGAGCGACACCGACACGAGCACTCGACGCTGCACGACGCCTCCAGAATGCCCGAGCCTTCTCGACAACCACCCCAGCCATGGGCACCTGGCTCGAGCCCAAACTCAATCGCAAGGACAAGATGGCCAAGGGCCGACCCCGTGTGGCCACCGGCGGCTCGGCCAAGGGCACGACCGTGATGTGGGGAGACTACGGACTGCGTATGATCGACCACCACCGACGCATCAGCGCAAAGTCGCTCCAGACGGCGGAAAGCACCATCAAGGCACGTCTGCGTGGTGAGAAGTACAGGCTGTACAAGCGGAAGAACTGCAACATTGGCGTGTTCGTCAGTGGCAACGACGTGAGTTTGGGGTTGTCCAAGGGCTACTTGTTATGAACAGTGCACTGACGAGATCAAAAGATGCGTATGGGTAAGGGTAAGGGTTCTTTCGACCACTGGGCTGCGCGAATTGCCGTCAGCCAAATCGTGTTCGAGATTCGAGGCAAGATTCACGAGGCCATTGTGCGAGACGCCTTCCGCCTGGCCGGCAACAAGCTACCGGGGCAGTGGGCGTTTGCGAAGAAGGGGGATGCGCCCATTGTCGGCATCACACCGCTGGACAATGGCCTCACATTGGAGGAGTTGAAGGCTCCGAGGAGACACATCGCCCCCCAGGAAATGCTGGAGGCGTCGTCGCCGACTTCGATCACGCAGCCGGGGAGCAAGACGGAGTCGCAACCAAAGCCATGAGGGCTTGTACGATGTAGCAGTGTATATTACGGGCGTTGCCTGTGTATAAAATTATTTGAACCAAATTTTGGTCCCCCTTGAATGCTCGAGCGGGTGGTAGTCAGTAGGCGGTTCCAAGTACTGTCAACTGCGTACTTTTTCAGAAAGCAGGTTGCATCCATGATCTTTCTAGCGCAAGTACATTCAAATTTTATTGCAACGTAAGATAAGTGCAACGTACATTCTCTGAGGAATGCCTCAAGCGAGCCTCAGCGAGCTGACCAACCCTGAAGGCCCGTGCACACCGGCAGGGAAGACCCACTTTACAGGCAGGATCAGCCCGTCAACCACTTTACGCGCCAGACGCGTCTCCCCCAAAACTTCACTTTCCACTGCAGCTCCTGCACCCAAATCTCGAGCTGAATCCCGACCGCAAACATGGCCCTCATTGTCGACAAGCACCGTCCACGCTCCCTCGAAGCCCTCACATACCACCCCGAGCTCTCCGATCGGTTGCAGTCCCTTGTACATTTCGGGCCCTGCCCTTCTGCCGCTGGGCATGACTGCAGAAGCTGACAAGTCTCGCCAGGCACAAAGCGGCGACTTCCCGCACCTCCTCGTCTACGGCCCGTCGGGCGCGGGGAAGAAGACGCGCATCGTTGCCACGCTCAAGGAGCTGTACGGGCCGGGCGTGGAGAAGATCAAGATCGACGCGCGGGTGTTCCAGACGACGAGCAACCGCAAGCTCGAGTTCAACATTGTGGCGTCCAACTACCACCTCGAGATCACGCCCTCGGACGTGGGCAACTATGACCGTGTCGTCGTGCAGGACTTGCTCAAGGAGGTGGCGCAGACGCAGCAGGTGGACCAGTCGGCGCGGCAAAAGTTCAAGGTGGTGGTGATCAACGAGGCGGACCACCTCACGCGCGACGCGCAGGCGGCGCTGCGCCGGACCATGGAGAAGTACTCGCCCAACTTGCGGCTGATCCTGCTGGCGAATTCGACGGCCAATATCATTGCGCCGATTCGTTCGAGGACGCTGCTGGTCCGGGTGGCGGCGCCGACGCACGATGAGATTTGCGACGTGCTGGCTGTTTCGGCCAAGAAGCTCGGCTGGCCCGTGGTGACGGAGCTGAATATGCGGATCGCCAGGGAGAGTGGGAGGAATCTACGAAGAGCGCTGCTCATGTACGAGGCTGTGCACGCGCAAAAGTGAGTATCTCGCGTCCTTGTCACGTTGTCCTGTGGAGTGCGCGCGTGCTGACATCTGTGCTCTAGTGAGAAAGTGACAGAGAAAACACCAATTCCTCCGGCTGACTGGGAGGCGCTCATAGGGCAGGTCGCCAGGGAGATCATCGAGGAGCACTCGCCCGCGCGCATCATGCAAGTCCGGTCGAAGCTGTACGAACTCCTGACACACTGCATACCGGCGACGACAATCCTCAAAACCCTGACGTTCAAGCTGCTGCCGATGGTTGACGACGCGCTCAAGGGCGAGGTAATACAGTGGTCGGCGTTCTACGAGCACAGGATCAAGACGGGGACCAAGGTGATTTTCCACTTGGAGGCATTTGTGGCCAAGTTTATGAGGGTGTACGAGATGTACCTGATGAGCATGGACATGTGAGCGGCGGTTGTCATCATCAATGGAGGACTGGCGTATGGCGTGTGGGACGAGGTCTGCATTAGCTCGCTCTGGGGCAACGTCAACAGCCCCTGATGAGCTGGCGACGTACTGCCAAGGGTTCATCCCAATTTAGAGTTACAGCATTAGACTCATCGGTCGTAGCAGGGTTTGATCAAGTGTGCATCAGGCAGAACGATGAATCCACAGGATCGGAGGGCATCGACCAGTTGTGAGGCCCAAGCCAGAACGATGTCATGAGTGAGTGCCGATCTCCCCAAATGCGGGGGACTGAGGGGAAGCCCAGCGTGAGTTGGGGGTGGCCGGTGAATAACTGGCATCGCGATGACTACGTAGGTTGTTTCGTAAAGTGCCGTTTGAGTGCGTATAGGCATGGAGACACTTTCTTCTGGAACGTAATTGTTCTTGATGGCTGCGCATTGCATACTGCACATTGCATACAGAATTACAGATGAATGTCCGGCGGGGGCAACTGATGTGACGTTCATACATGAACCTCAGGCCAGCTCTACTGCGCCTGGCCACATTCGTTGCATAAGCGCAGAAATGAGAGAAACTGGTTAGAGGAACCTGACGCCGGCTGAGGTCATATCTGCGGGATGAATTGAAGGCAATGCAAGTTGTGATGAAGATGGTGGTTGAGGAGTGGGGCCCATCAGCCCGGCTGGCTGGTGGCATCGTCCCTAGCTTCCACACGTCCGTCCATTCGTTCGGCGCAGGACCCTTGCGTTGCGTTGAGCGGAACTCCGTATAACGAATATGGCCCAGATGGCAGAAAGCAGCTCATAGTCAAGATTGATTAGGCTGTGTGGCCGCACGGATGGTTTTGCGTGAATTAAACGAGGTGCCCTCGGTGGAAAGAGACTGGAGTGACGGCTAACCTTCAGCCGAGCATGGCTTCGGCTACCACGTCTGGGCACTGGCTGCTCGGGGCAACGGATGCACTGGCCCTGGGGGAAAGGACACCCTCCAGTCCGTTGCTTGGCTGGGCCGCTGGTGTCCATGTCGGCACGCATACCGGGAGTCAGGCCTGGCCTCAGCACCGAGAGTTTCCAGCGCCCTCGTTGCCATTGGGGTCCAGTCCCCTCCTGACGCAATGCCTGGTCTGGGGATAGACTGGACCCCTCCATCTCATCAGTGATCGTCCATCGCTGCGCACGAGACTGGACAATTGGACGCTTCCATAAGAACGCGCCGATGCCCTGTCTCGCGACCATCCCCTCCATGTCCTCCTCCAGTCGCTCTTGCCATTGTCACATCCATTGACATTCCATTTTCCTCTCATCCAGGCACAGCTTGACATCCGTCCTCTTCAACTTCTACGACGAACCTATTTAAACACTCCAATCCTACCGACTGACCTCATCCCCAGAGTCAGTACAGTCTTGCGGAATAGCTCTCGCCCGCCAGCCTGTCGCATTCCAGCTATTACGCACGACCGGCCCGGAGTTGAATCGAGAGCGTCCCCGCTACCCCGCATCGGCACCCTGAGCTGCCCTGGAAGGGAACCAGTTCCAGCGCTGTTCTATCCGTACTGCCGCAATAATATTTCCAGTGCCCCGCGGCAGCTGCCCGTGAGACCTTCACTGAGGGAACTGAGTGAGATTCGACACAGACAACCACCAACATACACACACCACAGCCATGGCGGAAGCTATACAAAGCCACCCCAAGGTCGTCGCCGAGGCGCACGGCGTAGACACATTCCGTAAGCCCGACCAGTGTGCCCTAAAAAGCATGAGGCGCAACCGGCAACTTGCTAACCACGGCTCTGCCTGTCACAGATCCTCCCGAGAAGATGCTCGCCAGTAAGAGCTCCCTCCCTTCGCCGTCGCGAGGTACCTGGCCTGAAGACTGACCGTCCGCGCACAGACCACCCCAGCAAGCCTCATCTGGCCAACATTGAGGAGTACCAGAAGCTCTATGAAGAGTCCATCACGGATCCCACCTCCTTCTGGGGTCGCCAGGCGCGCCAGATGCTGTCATGGCAGCGCGACTTCCAGACTGTCCAAAGTGGCTCCCTCGCCAACGGCGACGTATCCTGGTTTACCGAGGGCCAGCTCAACGCATGCTACAACTTGGTCGACCGCCACGCGCACAAGGACCCGGACCGCGTCGCCATCATCTACGAGGCCGACGAGCCCGGTGACGGCCGCGAGCTGACCTATGCTGAGCTCCTGCGCCAGGTCTCCAAGACCTCGTGGGTCCTCAAGCAGATGGGCGTGCGCAAGGGCGACACCGTCGCCATCTACCTGCCCATGATCCCCGAGGCCCTGATCGCCATCCTCGCCTGTATCCGCATCGGCGCCGTCCACTCGGTTGTCTTCGCCGGCTTCTCCGCCGACTCGCTGCGCGACCGCGTCGTCGACGGCCAGTCCAAGGTCGTCATCACCACCGACGAGGGCAAGCGCGGCGGCAAGCTCATTGGCACAAAGAAGATTGTCGACGACGCCCTCAAGCAGTGCCCCGACGTCACCCACTGCCTCGTCTACAAGCGCACCGGCGCCGAGATCCCCTGGACCGAGGGTCGCGACTGGTGGTGGCACGACGAGGTCGACAAGTGGCCCGCCTACTACCCCCCCGAGACCGTCAACGCCGAGGATCCCCTCTTCCTCCTCTACACCTCGGGCTCGACGGGCAAGCCCAAGGGCGTCATGCACACCACCGCCGGCTACCTGCTCGGCGCCGCCATGACGGGCAAGTACGTCTTTGACCTGCACGACGGCGACCGCTACTTCTGCGGCGGTGACGTGGGCTGGATCACCGGCCACACGTACGTCGTCTACGCGCCCCTCCTCCTCGGCGTCACCACCGTCGTCTTCGAGGGCACCCCTGCCTACCCCAACTTCTCCCGGTATTGGGACATTATCGACAAGCACAAGGTGACCCAGTTCTACGTGGCGCCCACAGCGCTGCGTCTCCTCAAGCGGGCCGGCGACGAACACGTCAAGGCGGAGATGAAGCACCTGCGCGTCCTGGGCTCCGTCGGCGAGCCCATCGCCGCCGAGATCTGGAAGTGGTACTTTGAGGTTGTCGGACGTGAGAAGGCTCACGTTGTCGATGTAGGCTGCTTGACCACCACCGTACGAGGAACATGATTGCTGACGAGTCGCAGACGTACTGGCAGACAGAGACGGGGTCCAACGTCATCACACCCCTGGCGGGCGTGACGCCGACCAAGCCCGGGAGCGCCTCGATGCCCTTCTTTGGCATCGAGCCCGCCATTGTCGACCCCGTGTCCGGCGAGGAGATCAAGGGCAACGACGTCGAGGGCGTCCTTGCCTTCAAGCAGCCGTGGCCGAGCATGGCCCGCACCGTGTACGGCTCGCACAAGCGATACATGGACACGTACCTGAACGTATACAAGGGATACTATGTGAGTGGTTGGATTCTGCAAGCTTCGGGGCGTTGCGCTGCTGACACATTTCCTAGTTCACGGGTGACGGCGCCGGTCGTGACCACGAAGGCTTCTACTGGATCCGCGGTCGCGTGGACGACGTGATCAACGTGAGCGGCCACCGCCTGTCGACAGCCGAGATCGAGGCAGCCCTCATCGAGCATCACGGCATCGCCGAGGCGGCGGTGGTCGGCGTCGCGGACGAGCTGACGGGCCAGTCCATCAGCGCCTTTGTCGCGCTCAAGGACGGGCACGAGACGAGCGAGCAGCTGCGCAAGGAGTTTGTGCTGCAGGTACGCAAGAGCATCGGTCCGTTCGCGGCGCCCAAGACGGTGTACATTGTGCCGGACCTGCCCAAGACGCGGAGTGGCAAGATTATGCGGCGCATCCTGCGCAAGATCTTGGCGGGCGAGGAGGATCAGCTGGGCGACATTACAACAGTAAGTGCAGTTTTCATCTACCACGCGGGTACGAATGGGGGCGCTAATCAGTGGCAGCTCTCGGATCCCTCCATTGTCGAGAAGATTATCAATACCGTGCATGCGTCAAAGAAGGCTTGATGGGTGACAGGGAGGTGAATACTGCCAAGAGAAGAGCGGGCGGGGAGAGGGAGCGCCGTAACAGCAGCAACTGGATGAGTGATCTGCTGCACTTTGGAATAACTGGACCGAATAGTCGTGTTATTAGCCTTGTTAATTCGTACTTTACCGTTTCGTACGTTGTCGGCGCTTCATCTAAACATCTTCACTGACGGTACTATGCACGTACGTATAGATACGTTTTGTAAGCCACGTCGGCAGATGCCACCAGCCACATTGGACGCGTGGCAGGCCAAGACCTTCTCCACCGAGAAAGGCTGGGCATATACAAATTCAGCCAAGCTTCACTGTGTACTCCTTAATCAATCAGTCAATCAACCGTACGACAACCCCCCCTTCTCAAGTTCGGGGTTCTCACATCAGCCAGGTGCATGTGTCGTCGTCATCAAGGCCGAGGCCAGCAGCCAGGTGGGGGGGTTGGTGACCGTGGCCGTTGGATGGGATAGGTCCGAGACTCCTCATAGACCCTTCTTGGCAGAGTCATGGACCTGTTCCTTTGCGCGCACAATTCGTCTTGTTTGGTGATTCCAGCACAGCCGTGGAGCCGCTGGGTTGGACTGGACTAAATATAATATCAATAGGCGCCAGTGGCTGTGCTGTGCGTAGGGTGCTGGGGGAGTACGCGGACAGGCTGCAAGGCCTGATCTGACGTGCGACACGTCTTGTTTGAGGGGCGACCAGACCAGCAGCTCCAGTACGGTCTGGCACGGCAGAGACAGGACGACATGGAATTCAAAGGCGAATGTATGTATTTGCCCCTATTATTGTTACCTATCCATGAATGCAATTCAGTTTAGCATCCAACGTGGGCGGGTGACAGAAATAGCCCCTCACTCCGAGGGGGGGGGTCCGCTGCTAGCTGGCCTACCTTACCTTAGTAACTGGCCACGCCTCCTGCACCATCGGTCTGTAACAATCAGTGCTTTCTGTGACTGGCCTCATCGAGGACGCCTTCGACTGTGTTGCTCGTTGGCAACGTGAACCGCGCAGACACGCCAAGCAGACCCTGAAGGTTTCATGCTTCAGGTCTGCTCATGGAAATCCCATACGGCACCAAGCAGATCAACGACAAGCCCATCCATCTCACTGCAGACCCGCTGTGCCGATTATTGTGTCGCCATCTTGCCCACACTACTCCGTAGCGTGGGCCCTTGTGGCGTACGTCCGCGTCCGCTTCGACGGCAGAGCGACACTCCGGGTCGATTGCGCTGCGCCAACCTTCTTGCCCTCCCATAGCACCGAAACCCGCCTGTTCCTTCTACATCGAACAACCTTATTATTTGACGTGTTTTTTTTTTGTTTTTTTTGGAATACCTTACCTTATTCTATTCCCTTGAGCCGACCCGTGCAATCGTGCCTTCCTTGGTGCTCGTCGAACAGTATACACACTACTCGAGTCCGCCGCTTCCCTGGGTACTCAGTTAGCTTCATTCGGAATCCACAGACGCATGGCCGAGTTGCAATAGCATCCATTCCTCTAGCCGTCCTCCGGGACAGAAGCCACTTTCTGGCCCTCGCCAGCCTCTGTCGCTCGAGATGATCAGCTTCCGATCTGTAGCGACGGCTGTTCTCGCTGGCGCGGCCATCTTTTCGTCCTCCACAACGGCCCATTCTACTAAACGCAACGCCGTCAGCGCCGTCTCGATTGTCACACAACCGGTCATCGACACGCCCGCCCACAGGGTACACGCTCACTCTGAATTTGATATCGTCTTCGACCTACGGCAGGATGGTCTGGACCCTGTGCCTATACGCCTGGCCCTCGAGCCAAATCACGACATCCTCCATGACGACTTGACGATAACGAGTCTGGACCCCGACGGCACGGTACGGGAAGTCGAGAGGGTGGACAGAAAATCCCGGAAAGTTTTCAAGGGGCGCGCCTATGCACAGAAACCGACCGGTTGGACACAGGCGGGGTGGGCTAGGATCATTGTGCACCGCGACGGCAAGAAGCCCCTGTTCGAGGGCGCCTTTCGAGTCTTTGGTGTCAGCCACCACATCCAGCAGGACTCAAAGTACCGCAAGGTCAAGCATGAAGAGGACCCAGAGGTTCCGGCGTCCCAAGATGGCGAGGCCCTCATGGTCGTGTATCGCGACTCCGACATTCGACCGTCCGAGTTGAAGCGAGACAGCCTCGCGTCTACCTGTGATTCGGACAATCTGGGGTTCAACACCCGGTACGATCTGGAGAGACGGCAGCTGGAGCAGGAAAGTCCAAACCTCGCCATGATGCCGGCGAAGTCGCTGTTCGGTCGCCAAATCGATAATGTCGGGGACGACATGGGGGCCAACTACTATCCCACCATCGGGTCGACCAGCGGATGCCCAGACACCCGCCAGGTCGCGCTCGTGGGCATTGCCACCGACTGCAGCTACTGGGACGAATTCGATCGCGACCGCGATGAGGTTGAGAAGAACGTCATTGATCTGGTGAACCGAGCCTCTGCCCTATACGAAGACACCTTTAGCATTTCGCTCGCGATTCGGAATCTCACCGTCATCGATCGTCCGTGTTCCCAGTCCGAGTCGGGTTCCGCGCCATGGAACCTCGCCTGCAGCAACAGCGTCACGCTCGGCGACCGACTCAACCTCTTTTCGGGGTGGCGTGGCCAGAATCTCGACAGCAACGCCTACTGGACGCTGCTCACCACCTGCAGTACCGACACCGCCGTCGGGCTCGCTTGGAGAGGGCAGCTCTGCCGGTCTGGCTCGTCCGAGGGCGTCGACGACCAGGGCGGGAACGAGACGGTGGCCGCGACCAACGTCGTCGTCCGGACGGCGCAGGAGTGGCAAATCTTTGCGCACGAGACGGGCCACACGTTTGGCGCCGTCCACGACTGCACCAGTGAGGTCTGCCCCGTCAGCCGCGACTCGCAGTCGTGCTGCCCCTTTAGCTCCAGCACTTGCGATGCCGGGGGCAGCTTCATCATGAACCCGTCGACCAACGAGCAGATTGACGACTTTTCTCCCTGCAGCATCGGCAACATCTGCTCCGGCCTGCTGCGCAACGTCAATGGCGAGTGCCTGACCAACAACCGCAACGTCGGGACCTTCACCGGCAGCCAGTGCGGCAATGGCATCGTCGAGGAAGGCGAGGACTGCGACTGCGGCGGCACCGAAGGCTGCGGCGAGAACAGCTGCTGCAACGGCGAGACGTGCGAGTTCCGAGACGGCGCCGTGTGCGACCCTGTCAACGAGGGCTGCTGCACCGACGAGTGCGCCTTCAAGTCGAGCGGCACCGTGTGTCGCGCGAGCACCGGCGACTGCGACCCGGAGGAGACGTGCTCCGGCGACAGCGGTCTCTGTCCCTCCAACGAGCATCTCAACGACGGCGACTCGTGCGGCGACGGTCTAGAGTGTGCATCCGGCCAGTGCACCAGCCGTGACATGCAGTGCCGCGCCGTTGTGGGCGGGGGTAACCTGGGCAACGACAACATCGAGGCCTGTGGCGGCACCGATAGTTGCATACTGACCTGTCGTGGGGCATCCGACAGCAGTGTATGCAGCATGTACAATACCTATCTCCTCGACGGGACTTCCTGTTCAGGCGACGGCCACTGCAAGAACGGGAGCTGTGAAGGTGCCTCTGTCTGGGGTCGAATCCAGGAGTGGTTCCGCAACAACAAGAACATTGCCATCCCCGTGTGCTGCGTCGTGGGCGGGCTCCTGCTCCTGTGCATCGCCTGCTGCATCTACAGTAGCTGTCGCCGGTGTCAGCGCCGCCGGACCAGGAAGCGTGCCATGGCCAAGCGGCCGCCGCCACCACCGCCAGAGATGGCGGGCGGGAACAGCACGCCGCCCGTGGGAGGGTACTGGCAGCCGGAGAACCGGAACGACCGCTTTCCCAGCAACCACCACGACCCGACGAGCCAGCCCTTCAACCCGAACCACTACGGCACGCACGACGGGCACATTTACGAGGACAACACCAACAGTCCGTTGCAGAATCGGCAAATGAGCCACGACAACAATTATGAGATGGGGCGATGGCAGCGGACGGGGAGCACACGGTACGCGTAGACAACTTTTTGTCTTGGATATATGGGAAGCTTGCATTGCATAGTCACGGCGTTTCGTGGCGAAACTTACGGGTCATCATCATGGGTTGTTGGTCCACATCACCAGCATGTTTTTGCTTATTTCTGTAAAGTCATTCCCACAATATCACTCTAGATATACAAGATTCATACTACGTTCGCCCTGCTGCCTCCGTCTCTTGGTCATGATCATCAGACGTATCCTCGTAATACGGAAAGGATCCCGCTCAGGCATCAGTCACCTCCAGGCTTGCTTCCCGGACGATCTCCTAGACGACATCTTCTCGGGTCTGATGGCACGCGAGGGCGCCTCCATCCTACCCTCCGGATCGTGCAGCATGCACATGAACTTGTATCGCTGGCTTGCCACGGACTGCGTGGATGTCAGCCTCATCTTTCTTCTTTGTTCTCTGTGACATCAACTAAAGACGTACATCATCGTTGCCCTGCGCGTGCATGAGCAGTAGCTCGGGCTGATCCAAGGCTCGCATGGCGATATCCTTTTGCTGCGTGGCATAGTACGTGTCCACGGGCAGACTACATAGTACCGGGTTTAGAAAAGTGAAAAAAGCAACAAGGTTTGGGAGGAACGCACACGTCGCCAATGACCATTCGAAACGAACGCGAGTCGACGTCCTCTTGGTTGATGCGGTGGGTGTGATCCTTGCCTCGCGCCTGGAGGTCCATCTCCATTTCCTGGGTCTTTTGCGTGCGCGTTGCCATTTCGGCGGAGGTGGTCCAGGGGATTTGATAACTAAGTTTTTTTTATGGCGGTGCGTGCCTGTGATGGTGCTATATAGTAATTCGTAATGAGCACCTTGATCTGGATGGAGGTGAGGACCGCAATGGTGGGGTGAAAGTGGGAAGCTGCTTGGACTCCAGTCGGACTCGAGACGGGGCGCATGGGGGGCAGCGGGCGGCTGGTGACATACGACGAAAACCCAGGCCCCAGAAACACGGATGAGCCGCTGCGTTTCCTCCTCACCACTAACAGCATAGAGCTCAACTCTTTAATGATTCTTTGAGACACTAGTTGGTGTACAAGATGTTAGATAGCCCCAGCCCTGTCTGTAGGTAAATAAATAAATAAAAAAAAAAAGAACATTCGCTTGCCAAATAATAGCAGCAGCCCGCCTTCCGACCCTCCTCGCAAGATTGATTCCTTGACACCTCGCCGATTGCACCATATGGCATGTGAACAAACACACAAAAGGAAAAGAAAGAATCTCGGTAAAGGGATACTCGCCCCATACCAACCAACCAACCAGTACGCCGCTTACTCAAGGACACCCCATGCCCATACTATGCGTAAAGATTTCGTAACACAAGGCGGCAAGGCCGAACAAATATGGTACCCAAGAATGGTCAATAGCCCCGAGGGAGTCGGGCTTCAAATACAAAGGAACTTTTTTGTCGTCTTTCTTCGTCATCATCGCCGCCAGTTGATAATAGCCAGCTGGTTCTGTTAGTTTGCACACTGGTCCGCAAGGGTCGGTCACTCACTCTGCTATTCGAGCCGTAGGCCAGCTTTTGTCCATTCGCATCCCAACAGAGACAGTGCTCGGCATACTCCTCGTCACTATCCGAGGCAGCCCTGGGGCTCTCCCACCCGGGGTGCGATTTGCGTCGCCACGAAGCTCGTGGGAATGTCGGGCTGGACACCTTCCAGATCAAGACCTGACTCGCCGACGCACCAGCGATGAAAACGCCATCGGGTGTGAATGCAAGTCGCACGATGGGTGAGTTCATGGTTAGGAAGCAGCGCTGTTTGCTCTCGGGCATGCGGACGTTCCATATGAGAATGGCGCAGTCTTCGCCTCCGGTGGCAATCAGTCGCTCGTTATCTGAATTCGCGGGCCCCGTCAATGGCTGCCATTCCATCGAGGTAATGGCACCCTGGTGAGCTTGTATGGACCGACGCCGGCCATTGGTGTCCCAAAGCTAGCAACAAGTCAGCAATACTTCCAGTAACAAGAATCGGCGCACATACGTCTAGAATCCCCGTTTCACTACCAGTGGCCGTCAGCTCAGAGTGCCAGTCGTAGAGCACACTGCGCAAGGCATCGTCGGGCTTCGTTTCGAACTTGCGCACCTGCACAATCTTGTCCTCGGCACAGAACAGTGTGGCGAGGAGGTTGCCTCCGCAAATGATAAACTCGAGATCGCTGATCCAGCTCGCATCCAGCGGTGCCGCGTTGATATCGTGGTCTGGCAGCGTGTAGGACAGCACAGACTGGGACTGCGACGTTCCATTCGGGAAATTCTGGTACACCGTAATAATTGCACCGTTCTCGTCCGGCGATGGTGATATCGCTAGCAGCGCCGTGTTGCTCCTGTTCCATAGAAGCTTGATCACCTGCTCGGCAGCGGAATCAAACGTCTGGAGCATGCCACCGTCGGATGCGCAGATAAGGACCGACGTCTGCCCACCGGATTCGGCGACTAAAGCCACCGAGTTTCCATCACTTGTCCACGCGAGCTGTGGAACGACAGTGCTTAAAGGTGCATCGGGCTCAAGCAGCGACAGGCCATTCGAGGGCACGTGATCGTGGTGAGGCTCGGAGTCTGAGGTCGGCGCACGTGAGACAGACCAGATTCGGGCTAGCGCCCCACTGCCAGCAGCGGCCAATACCGAAGGATCCTTGGGGTTCCACTGGCAATGCAAAAGAGTCGGGGCATTTGCGGCCTGCGCGCCCATGTCGGCGCCCGGTGAGGCAAAGTGGCCAGAGGCCCATCTGTCGTCGGTCAAGCGGATGAACGTCGTGTGCGGCGTGAGTTCCTCGACTTTGTCGTGCTGGGTGCCCTGCTCCGGGCCCTCAGTATGGGGGATCGGGCTTGTCGCTTCTTCCCCTTCCAGTGGTGAAGGGTATGCGTGGTTGTCGTGCTGGTCCTGATCAATGTCCATCGGGTCCGTGCCCGGAGGTGCGTCGTTGGTGCCATTCTCGTATCCATGGCTGAGTCGTGGCCTTTTAATCGGTGACCCATTCTGTAGGTGTGGGTGAGATCGTTTTCGAGGAAATTCAGTTTCCTCTGCTGAAGCGGCGACATGTGTGGTTGAATTCACTGGTGCGTGATCCTGCACGCGGGCGGTCGATACCGATGCCGCATCTGCTGTGGTGGTGGCCGGCGGTGGTGCGAATGGCGTCAGGTTGGTGGTGACTGTCTCAATCGTCGTCGCCGGAACCCCATCATCCTCCACCTTGGCGGGTGGCTGCGCGTTCAAAGGCCCAAAAATGCCGACCTGCAGAGATTCGGCCTCTGCCGTGCGAGCTAGATCATCAGACAACTGGGAGGAAGGGTCAGTCAAATCAAATGTCTGGGAGCGTCTTGGGGTTTTTGCCCTGGGCAGCCCTGGTGCATACCTGGCTGCTCGCGCGTTGGCGCTCGAGTGACTGATAGAGAAGGCCTCTATTGATGACGGAGACGAGCGCGTGGCCCTTGACGTGAGGCGCAAATGAGAATTGGTGGTGTGGCTGCTTGACCTGCCATTCCTTCTGGAACTTGGCAGCAGTCTCGCGGTAATCTACGCACAGACATTAGCAAGTGCTCGGGGGGCCGTGTGTCGGCATGACATACTGCCTTCCAGGAGGTACCTGTGAGCATGATGAGTTAGCCTCGTGAGTTGAGCGGATTGGAGCAAGGTTCTTGTGACTGTGCGACGGCTCGATCATCCACGAGCAATGCCTCGTGAACCGACCAAGGACTAGATGGGTGACAAGTCGCGGCAAGCGGGGGGGAAAGTTGAGAGTGAGTGAATGCTAACCTCCAGATGAGAAAATTGACTCGATCCGAGTCGAGGAACTCTTTGACGGCCATGACTGGCCGCCCCGGCCTACGGTCACGCAGGCAGTGAGTGAGAGAGTGTGGTGGCTGATGATCTGGCGTGTGAGAGCGTGCGTGCGTGCGCCAACCGGTGTTGTGCTGGCTGGGGAGATTTCAGGGCCAGGAGATTTCGAGATTCGAGATTCGGAGAGATGACAAGCCCGGGCGCGCCGCGAGTGGGCGCACTGGGGACGCTGGGTGCGAGAGTGCGAGCGTGCGTCTAACTAGACTAAGGGCGCGCGAAAAGGTGTAATCAAGGGCGGTATCTGCCCGCGGGCGTCACTTCCAAAGGTCTTGGGCGTGTGCTGTGAGTCCTGTCCTGCGCGAGGCTCGTGATGTTGGGGGAACCAAGGTTTGTCCACAGACCCTCGAAGAGATGAAATCGAAACATGAGCCGAACGGATCTAAGGTGGGTCTGGCCCGTCCGCGTCTTGGATTAGCAGTCCGCCCGGTTCCACGTCGAATGGTGTCGCTAGGACTCTTGTCACCGTCCCCAGGGGGGGCCAGCGCCTCAAAGTCTTCAATCTCTATTGCCTGCGTCAACGCTGGTTCCCCTCGGATTGGCTAATAGTCCAGTCGTCACTCAACTTCAGTCCGTTCATGGCACTGACTGGACTGGAACGGCCTGGCGCTTGTTGGCTCTTGCTCCCAGGCTGCAGCAGCCCAGAAAACCCCCGGAGCGTTGGCATTGGGCAGGTGCGACGCTGCAGCCTTTAACCCGCGCTAGTCCAGCCCCCCTCAGCTTCCCAGCAGTCCAGCGCTGCACCAGCGGTCAATCCTTGGTGGGACCGATCAAGCGCGGTACGTACCTGTGCTTTCGACAGCTGGCCCTTTTAACTTCTCACTGGTGGCCCAAGACCCTCGAAACTCTACAGATGCTAAGAGAAGGCGTCATGAACATGGACTGGAGCTTGTGGATTCCTATCACAATGAATTGAGCCGCTGCTTGTCGTGAATCACCCTCATTCCAGCCCCGATTGCTGCGCAGCCAGATGTTCCATGTCACGTACATTCTCCAGATGCAGGCAGAGTTTATTATTCTGTCTTCTACATCGATACGACAATGGCCCTTCTACCTACTCTCGGCGTCACGCCACGCCAATCGTCATCCTTACATGTTTTCAGCGTTTGAACCAGCTCTTGGCAGGCCATGTTGATACAATCGTCTGCCAGCATGTCGTTAGCGGCCACCAGTACGGAGCAGAGGTCACGCCTCGTGACTGGGCAGCTAACTCGATTCTGACGCTCATCGACCTCCTGAGGCGTGGTCGAATCGTTGCAGATCCGCTGCTAAATTGGCGGAGTTGCTTCCGAGGCAGCGCCAGCTTGCGTCCAGGTACAAACCACCACGACCTGGAGCCTGCAAAACTAATACCGGCCAGCAAGCTGTCCACGTCGTCCATTCTCCCGCCAGCCAGCGCGCTCGGAACTGCTGTTCACTGGTCCCAACGGTAAGGCTATCTCGAGCCTTCTTGCAGAGACCACGAAAAGTGACAAGCGCCCAGCCTCCGATGGCGGTGGAGCCAGGGGTCCATGTCATTTGCTGGTCGACGCCCGCCGGGAACCCCTGGCACAACATGTTCCTTGGGCCTGCACCGCATCATCTGCCACGCAGCATCTCCACGCCGCGACAGAGTAAACTTGTTGCTGACATTTTTTGTTGCTGTAGGAGCTCTGGTCAGATTGATTTCCAGGTACAGCACGCCGTACGGCCACCGGCGCAACTGCGCGAAGGCCAAACCTTCAATCTAATACGTAGTAGACTCCAGCCCTTTGGCCCCAACCTGCAATTGGGAGGCTTTAAATACTGATCCCAGCTACTGATGCAAGATGCCGTGGGCGCATGAGTCGTGCCCAGTGATCCGTCCACCTAGGCACCCACAGCCTAATCACATCGGGGCAGGCCTCACCAGTTGGCAGTCACCAGTCCAAGCCTTGCTACGCAACGGCATCCATGCAGCATCGTGTGAGGCTTTGTTGATGGCGAGTAGGACGACACTCGTTTGAGTCCCAGTCTGTGGCATTCTTGTTGATTCAGCCGCAAGACCCCCGCGTCCACCATCTTGTACGATGTGTACGGACATGTGAGAACCGTGCGCTTACTAAGGTACGCCTCGTAGTGAGGCTCTGTGGTAGGAACTCGATTGCGCTCAGACAGAGCTCGTTGCGCTGCCTCGCTATGATTGTAGGTGCTACTTATTACAGATTAATACTTATTACAGATTAACACGTAGATAATTAGTAAATCAAAATTGGCCAGGCCAGTTGAACCAGAAACTGTCCAATTCGGGCATTTCAGCCACAACCAGACAAAAGTGACCGCAACCAAACCCGCTGCCGTGGAGCCTCTCTCATAGCTTTGGCCAATAGACTTTCTGTTCTCCGGTAGCTGCACTCCTGTCACTGTCATTATCCACGACCGCCTGACATTTCCGCCAGCCTCAAAAGACGACGCCCAGCCAGGAGAGCAGTAAGCCCGCCGAGCTTTGCGCGTCCGGCTCTGCTCAAACTCACCTCACTCATCAACAGTCCTCTTCTCTTCGGTCGCGCGCGCTAGCCATGGCGCGAATAAATATCCCCCCCGTGACGCGCGTCCTCCTCGCGGGCCTCGTCTTCCAGTCGATGCTCTCTTCTGCCATCCGCTATCGCCAGTGGACAGAGCACTCCGAGATCGTCATACCGTACCTCACCTTTGTCCCCCAACTATCGATCGTGTACCCATGGACGCTCCTCACGACATCGCTAGTCGAGAGCAACATATTCACGCTGGCGGTGGGCGCTGCGACACTCTACTACGGCGGGCGATATCTTGAGCGTGCCTGGTCATCACGCGAGTTGGCAAAGTTTGTGGCGCTCGTCACGCTGGTCCCCAACTTCTTGACCTTTGGCATGCTCGTGATTCTGTTCACTCTCTCGCGCAACGAAAGCTGGACGTACGCGATTACCTTCTCCCACCCCCTGATTCCTTGCGTGGTGCGCCAGCTAACAATATTTGCGTTGCAGACTGACCGTTGTCTCCGGAACCATCTCGGTTCAGATATCCTTCCTCGTCGCTTTCAGCCAACTCGTACCCGCCCATACCGTCACGCTCTTTCGCGGCATTCTCTCCCTGCGCGTCCCTCGGTTCCCCCTCGTCCACCTGGGCGTGGTGACACTGCTTTCCTTGACGCCCGCCCTCTCCATTGCCAGTTTCTGGCTTGCCCTGTTCGGGTTCCTGACGAGCTGGACGTACCTGCGCTTCTACAAGACTGTCTTCCCCGACTTGGAAGCCTCGTCGCAGTCGGCCGGCCTACGAGGCGATGCGAGCGAAACATTTGCCTTTTCGGAATTCTTCCCTGCTCCCGCGAAGCCATATGTAGCCGCGTTCGCCGACCAGATTTTCGAGGCGCTCGTGGCGATGCGTGTCTGCGCGCCCTTCTCGCAGGCCGACATGTCCGCTGCCAGGGGCGAGAGCTATCTCCAGAGAGGGACGCCCGGCAGCGCCCGCGCAGAGGCCGAACGAAGGCGGGCCATCGCCCTAAGGGCTTTGGACCAGAGATTGCACGCTGCGACAGGCACCGCGCCGAGCAGGACCCCTTCACAGCAGTCTGCGCAGGCGCCTGGTGGTGGTGGGCAGCAAGACGGCCAACGGACACAACATCAGGCGAACGCGCAGACAGCCACAACGTCACAGCCAGGGCAGATGCTGGGCGAGACCAAGTTTGAGCCCGATCACGACGATGATGAGGACAGGCACTGAGCGTCTTTTTGTGTGCTATTGATGGCTTCCGGAGTTTTGGAGGTGTAGTGCCATGTCTCATCAGCAGCCGACATCAACAGGAGCATGTGGAGCGCATGGTTGTACGAAGGAGACATAGCGTTGATTAATATTTGGTGGTTTACAAGTCGTTTCACGCATTTGCAGTGGACATGTTCTTCGTACGAAGAATTCAGATCATTTGCGATACAAATGCGCCTCGAGGAGAGCTAGCGAGCACTTGATGCGATGGTTTGAAATGGGGCGCGCCCACTGACCGTCCTGATCGAAGCGAGCTCTTGAAAGAGTCAGAACCGTGGGTGAAGACATTCGCGGCGGCAACGTGATCTTGCAGCCATTTCACTGAGGATAGTATTAACGTGCGGCAGGCGAGCCATGGTGCCGGGGACGTCGCGCTCAGTCAGTCACTTTACATAACAGCCGTGCCAGAATAGATCCTTGGAATGCGACACAGAAGACAGCACAAGTGTTAAAGAGTCGTTGTGCGAGTCGTGACTTAGATCTTTTTGGTCCTCCCTTGTCGGCAGGTGGCACTGTATGTTTGTCATGTGTGGCGCACCATCGGCCATGTGCAAGCGGCCATCGGCGCGGACAACAGTCGTGTTTCCCCATTTGTCTGAAACACGTAGGACTAGGAAACGAAGTGGTGAAGTGCGTAGAGTGAATGAGGATCTTATCTCCGATGACTTACTCAAAGAAACAATGCATAAGTACTTGCCTTACTCAAGCATAGTAACAAGTAGCTAAGTAAGTAGGCATCCCGCGTGGTGCTGCAAAAGCTGCGCCATGCAACGCATACTGGAAGAACAGAGGTGGCTGGGTGATCACTGATGGGGTCCGATCCGGTCTCTTGAAAGGTTGCGCGCTGCGTTGCTGGCATCTGCGCAAGAGCCAGTCGCAGCAACAGACGGCCATCCTGCGTCGACGTGCATGGCGGGGGCGTCAGGCTGCATGAGAGATGCGAGACCTGATTATCATGGTTCGAAGCAGACGGGCTCAAGCGGCGCACACCGTGCAGCTGGTGCGATGCGGTGCAGTGCGGCGACCCTTTGGTGATGTTACGTAGAGCAGTGGGCTAGGGTAAGTTAGGCTAGGCCTAGGGGCAGCAGAAGGAAGGAATTGTGGGCAGCTCCTTTCCTTCCCCACTACTTTTCGACCGTGACACAGGTAGGGTCGGTTACCGACACCCCAAGCTCTCACTGCGTCACGATCACGCCCCCCATTTCCACCTGCAGCATGCTCGTCAGGATGGTGCGTGCCCTCCCACCGAACCTTCCATTCCCGACGCTTGACATGTTGCGCCCGGCTGGCTCCCCACCCCCCTTTCCAGTGCTTTGTGCTCGCTCATGATGAGCACGGCAGGGGACTGGATCCCCATCGAGTCTCACACAACCCGCCATTCCGTCTCTTGAATCGTCAGTTGGATCTGACCAAGCGTTAATTTATTTCACGCCTCGCGCGGCAACCGTCCCAGAGCCCTGCTTAGCTGCTTACCACGGGCGCGTTTGGATGTGGCTGACGCGCGAAGAGGCTGATGGTCGTTTGCCAGGTACTTAATTAAGGTACTTACTTGCCTTAGGTGTCGCGTCACCGGCTGTCGATGGGCCAACTGAGCCTCTGTGCGCCACACCGGGTATTTTTGCGGACCCTGGAGCCATTCGCAAGACCGATCATCACGGTAATCGAGACGTGGAAATACACTATATATATATGTAGTCAAAAACGCAAAACTGTTGTATGCCCATTTGCGCGCTTTTGGAACTGCAAAGTTATACGCTGCCTTTTTCTTTACGGGACGCCTCGGGATCTGGCACTTGGAGCTGTTATTTGGTGACAACAGCCTGAGCTTCTTGGTGAGTAGCGTGCTGGGGACTACCTAGGCACCTGTATGAATTGTGTTCGAACGGCGAGATCTAGCACACTCAAGATTGGGGATCGGGCGTTTCGCTTTCGTACCTAGTGTTGTCACTAGTGATATCTTTGACATGAAGGAGAAGAGAGTTGTCTAAGGTGAGCATTTGACTAGCCTAACATGGATTTCATCCGAGTCATTCGCGCTACGACTGCGGGCAGACAAATTCAAATGCTCTGAAAGTTCGCAGTATGTTGGGGACTTCACACAATTGATACAGTTTGCTCACATTAACGAAGCCACATCGTTTATGTCGACGCGCTCACGAGGAATTGACGGAATACGACGCGGGAATTGTAGCAGTTGGTGGTGATATAGGGTAGTCGGGCACATGACCATCGCCTGTGGTTGGGGCAGCCACTCTGGTCCCAGGCTGCATACGCGAGTTAGGGCACCCGCCGACGATTTGGTCCACGATGGGCGGGCCGGCAGACGACATGGAGTTAGGCGCCCCTGTTCTGTAGCACACACCAAGACCCGTCCGTCTGCCAGGTCCGGCCAAGGACCAAGGCTGCGTGCGAGCGCGGCCTGGCGCGGCGTGGACATGGGCTGGACCCGCCCGCGGACGCCAAGGACACCCCGCCGTGGCGCTAATGACCACTAGCTGCATGCCGCCAGACAGACAGTCTTTTCCCTGTCGAGGTACGTACCCCATTGGAGCGTGGGTAAGGGGAGTTTGCAATGGCGGCACGAGAAAGCCTTCTTCGTCCGGCCTCCCCCCCCAAACCCGTCGTTTCTTCCTTTCCCATAATAATAGCTGCACGCTTGACCAGGCCACCTCTAGTATCAACAATCCCATTATCGTCCTGCGTGGCGCTTGGGCATACGCAGTGGTTTCCTGCCATCCCTCGGATCGCCTGCGCGCGTATCGTCATCGCAATATTATTTACAGCCTCGAGCTCCAATTCTCCTCGTCGTTGGCCACGCGCGCCTAGCCTGGAACCACCCTACCTCTGCTGGCACCCAACCGATTGACCTCGACGACTCATTGTTAGAGCGCTCCGCGAAACCACTTTTTCTCCTGCCTCCGCGAGCCCTGTTGACGAATTTCCGCATCGCAACAACAGCAGCGCATCGGCGGTCGCATCGCCTGAGCCCGCCAAGGAACCATGGCGGCCAACCATCATCCCTCACCGACCATGATGATGGGCCAGCAGCACCAACAGCAACAGCAGCAGCAGCACCATCATCAGCATCACCCTCCTCCGGGTCACACTAGCCACCCGCCTCACTGGGCCGGCCCAACGTTAACTCAGTCGATTGCCGGCGTTAACGAGCATGTGTGGCTTCAGATTGGTAAGTCGCCATGTCAATGCGCTGCCCATATGTAGGTATCTGACTAAGTCCCTCTACAGGAAGTTTCTCGGAGCTCCTGCGCGTCCCTGACGAGGCGTTGCATGCTTACGAGCGCGCGATGCAAGCGAACCCCAATTCCACAGCGGCCATGAACGCTATCGGCATGCTGTACAAGGGCAAGGAAGCCTACGAGAAGGCGCTCGAATTCTTCCGCACCATTGTGCAGATGGAGCCTCAGAACGGCGAGGCCTGGGGCAACCTCGGTAAGTTTCCCCAATCCTCAACACGCACAAATGAGCTTGCCTAACCTGACAGGCCATTGCTACCTCATGTCGGAGAACCTGCAAAAAGCATACGACGCGTATCAACAGGCACTAGTTAACATGCGCGACCCGAAAGACCCCATGCTGTGGTATGGCATCGGTATACTATACGACCGCTACGGCAGCTACGACTATGCAGAAGAGGCGTTCTCCCAAGTCATGCAAATCCAGCCCGACTTTGACAAGGCCAATGAAATTTACTTTCGCCTTGGAATCATATACAAAGGCCAAAACAAGTTCCATCAAAGTCTAGAGGTAGGCACACCAGCACTGACGAGGCGACTTTCTCGGTCACTAACCTGACTCTAGTGCTTCAATTACATCGTCAACTCGCCACCTGCACCGCTAACCCGGGACGATATCTGGTTTCAGATCGGCCACGTCCACGAGCAACAGAAGCAATACGACAACGCGAAGGCTGCCTACAACCAAGTGCTTGATAACACGCCAAACCATGCCAAGGTTCTACAGCAACTGGGTTGGCTCCATCACCAACAGAGCAGTTCATTTGAGTCGCAAGAGCGCGCTATTGCGTACTTGGAGAGATCGGTTCAAGCCGGTATGTTTTGCCTGTCCCACCTTGTTCTTGCTAGGCACTGACACTCTTTCACCAGATGGCCAAGACTCACAGAGCTGGTACCTCCTCGGACGTTGCTACATGTCGCAGCAGAAATACCCCAAAGCCTACGAGGCCTACCAGCAAGCTGTTTACCGCGATGGCAAGAACCCGACGTTCTGGTGCTCGATTGGTGTTCTCTACTACCAGATCAACCAGTACAGAGATGCGCTTGATGCGTACAGCCGCGCCATTCGCCTCAACCCCTTCATCTCCGAAGTTTGGTACGACCTTGGTACTCTGGTAAGTTAACTGCATACTCCCCCAACGCGCACAGGCGTGCTGACCAGCAAATAGTATGAATCTTGTAATAACCAGGTTACTGATGCCATGGACGCCTACCAACGCGCAGCCGAGCTTGACCCCGACAATCCGCACATCAAGGCTCGTCTTCAACTGCTGCGTTCCGGAACCAACGGGGGCCCACCGCCGGCCGCACCGCAGCCAGCTGATGTCCACCCCAATACCTACCAGGCTTCGGGACCTCAGGGACCCTCTTGGGGCGGCCCGCAGCAGCATCCTCCGAGCGGCGGCCCTCCTCCCCCAGCGTCACAAGGGGGTGCTGCGGCTGGCGAGAACTGGGCTGGTCGCCTGGCCGGTGTCAACCCGCCATCCCAGCCTGCGAACCCATTCAACGAGCGTAGCGAGGGCTATCGTGGACAGGCCTTGCCTGGACCCCAGCGCCAGCCAACGCCGCAGCAAGAAGCGCACATGCGCCAGGGCTATCCTGAGCCTGGCCGCGGGGCTCCTCCTCCACGCCGTGGTCAGTCGCCTCCGCCGAGTGCTCACCATTATGGTCAACCACCGCCATCTTCGCACGGGCAAACTCCTGGTCACCCACCAGGGTCGGAGGGCCGAATCCCCAACCCCAACTGGGGCGGCGCAGCACCATCACCGGCTGGGCCTCCCCCAAGCCACCTGAACGGCGCGACTCACTCCAACGGAGGCACGCCTTTCCGTGCCAACAACAGCCCTCGTCCCGACGGTCGTCCTCCCCTCGGCCCACCTCACGGGCCTCCTCCCCACGACAATCGCATGCCGTCGCCCACTTCGGCTTATCCTCAGCACCAGCCGCCCATGTACCCAGCTCATCACCATGAAGGTGCGCACCCTGGTGCGCCCGAGAGCAATGCGGCCCAAGCACCTTCATCCGTACCGGGCGGTGAGCAGAGGCCTGCGGACGAGCGCCCGACGTCGACAGGGCCTGGCCCCAAGCGCATGCGTGAATGGGAGGAAGAGAGCGCGGTCAAGAAGCCGGCGAGCGAGGAGAACCGGGCTCGCCTCGAAGACGTGCGCCATCGACGACCGTCTACCCCGCGACGGGAATCTTTTCGACGCAACTCTGAAGCGAGACGTGCGGAGGATCAAAAGCGAAACGAGGACCAGAGGAGGGCCGAGGAGCCCCCGCAGGCCAAGGAGGCCTATCATCCCTCGGAAGCGGCGCATCACCAAGGTCATCATGCCAGTGGCGCCCAGGGACACCCAGGGCAAGCACCGAGCCCAGTGGCCTCCGCCGCCCACGAGAAGCCCCGAGCCGAGGCGGCGCCCAAAGAGGAGCCGGCGGCCGCAGAGTCGACACCTGTTGCCCAGCCGACGCAGGCCGCGCAGCCGGCCAACGAACCTGAGCGAGCGGCTCGCAAGATGGACGTGGACGAGGACTATGACGACAGTGGAGAGGACGAGAAGAAGGCCGCGCACACGAATGGCACAGTGGCCACCGCACCAGCCGCCGCAGTGGACAGCAAGACGTCGCCCAAGAGCACCAGCGGGGTGGCCAACGGCGGGTCTACCGCCAGCGCTGCGGAGTAGGTTCGTCTATACGTGCCGGAGCCGGACCCATACCAAAGAAGGAAGAAAAGGCGTAAGCGCTTGCTTGTGTGTTTGATAGGAAGCTGCCTCGCCGGACAGCGCGAACTTTGTATATCGCTCGACTTGACGTCTGTTTTTTTTCTTCTTTTTTTTATTTTATCCTTCCTTATCATGTTACACTTGGTTTTTCTTTTTCCTCACGTCGCACGTTTTTCGGAGCAAGGCGGGCAAAGTGGGTGGGGGGAGGCAAGCGAGGTCTCGCAATTGTGTCTTTCTATTAGCAGAGAAGTCACACTAGGAAATGATACAAAGATTTTTCTAAAGTACGTATTTTCTCGAGCAACTCAATTGAGTAGTACGGATGATAAATAAGCGCGCGCGTCATGTTTACCAACTTGCACAGAGCCCTTAATTAGCCAGGGGGAAGCTGGCTCGCGTCGACAGCCTCATCCGCCTCCTTGGCAATGGCCTCCTCATTGATGCCGTGGAGGGGCGAGCGAGGCAGGGCCATGAGACCGGTGCGTGCGGACTCGAGGATGCCAAAGGGGCCGACGAGCTTGAGGAAGGAGTCGATCCTGCTCTGCTTTGCGGACCTGTGAGATTGATTGTCAGCATGTGTTGGGTCTGGAGACGGCGGAGAGAAGACTAGACTACTTACACCTCGACGATGCAGCTGGTATTACTAATATCCAGCACCTTGCCGCCAAACTGGTGCGCAAAGTAGGTGATGGACTTTAGATGCTCGTGCTTGTGGCGCAACGCCTCGGAGGCGGCGAGCTTGCTGGGGTGAAAGTCCTTTGCGGTCTGCTCGAGAGTCTGCTGCTGCTGGCCCTGGTCAGCGGCGGCGGCGGCGAGCTCGTCGGCGACGGCGGGGTGGCCGGTGGTGATCTCGCGGTGGTGGTGGAGGAGCTCCTCAAAGTACTCTGGGCCGAGAATGTTGATCTTGGCGAGGAGGAGCTCGCGCTGGACGAGGGCGGCCTCTGTGTAGTCGAGGACGGCCCAGACGGGGACGAGGTCCTCGAGCTGGCGGCGGGCCTGCTCGACAACGCCGTCGTGGCCGGTGAGGACAATGGTCATGCGGGAGAGGTCCTCGACCTCTGTGTTGCAGACGACGAGGGAGTCAATGTTGAAGCCGCGGGCGGCGATGATGCCGGAGAGGCGGGAGAGGACGCCGGGCTCGTTCTGGACGAGGCAGTTGAGGATGTGGCGCTTGGGGGGGTCGGTCGGGGGCGTGGGCGTCTCGTAGAGGATGTTGGAGACGGCGGACTGTGCGGACCAGGCGGGCGTGGCGGCGCTCTTGGGGAGAGGCGCGGAGCGACGGTGCAGGGCCTTGTAGGCGAGCGCCGAGGTGGAGGAGCTGGGGCCGCGCGAGGAGGCGGACGAGGAAGAGGAAGAGGAGGAGTTGGCGGGCGACGACGAGGACGACGAGTTGTAGCGGAGGCCGGCCACAGTAGAGGCCGACTTTGCGACAGAGGTCGTCGTCGTCGTCGTCGTCTTCGCGGCCCAGCGCTGGGCGATGGGCCGAAGCGAGGACATGGCGGAGGCGGCCGTGGTGACGATGGGGAGAGGAGCAACGGTAGACTTGCTCTCGCGACGAATTGACTCCCTTTAGTAGTAGAAAGGATGATGGAGAATGAGTCTGGAGGAAAGAATGGGAAAGGCAGCGCCGGCGTCGGCGGGGAATTGGGATCGGTGAGTGGCTGGAGGCCGACGCTAACAGCTGCACCGCTGCCGGAGCGCGCAAGGCTGTTAGTGCAGGACGTGGTGGCCGCCAACAGGACCCGGGGCAGCACGGAGAGGTCAAGGCCTTGCAGAGTGACAATCAATGCATTGTTCAGAGTAAGCTGAAAGACGCCAACACCAACAGACTAGACTAGTAGTCAACCTGCCTTCCTCCACTGACTTGTGACTTGATCTCCTGCGTTCATCATGACCTCCTGAAGCCAAAGAAGCGCGTGCTGCCAGACCCTCCTCCTCCACCCTTGCCGCCTGCGGCTCCGGTGCCGGCGCGCTTCCGGCCGTCCTCCTTCTTCTTCTTGTTCTTTTGCTCGGGCTTGAGTGTGGCGTAGTGGATGAAGTATAGGAACCCGCACTGCGCGGCGAGGCCGACGAGGACGAGGACGAGCGTGGTGAAGAGTTGGGGCTGGTCGTTGAGGACAGCGACGGCACGATCCGACGCGCCGACGCGCTTCATGAACCCGAATTGCGACATTGTGCCAATGTGGCCAGCAGCTTGGCCGGCGCTGGGTGTACTGCAGGTTGCCAGATGGATGCCAGATGGTGGCCAGCTGGATCCTGTAAGAAGGGTGACTGAGGACTGAATTCTGGACAAATGCAGGCAAGGCTAATTGATTACTTTGTTTGAGTAGATTGAAGATTTGAAGCCAGTGCTGCTCATGACAAACTATGTATGCTACCGTACTCCGTAGACGTGGAGGCGCTTCCCTTGAAGCACCGAAACGCAACCTGTAACATGATGGTTCATGGCAAGCCACGGAGTGGTTTCACCTGGCGTCACGTCGGGGCCTTGGGGCTCGCAGTGCGCGTGTCTACACGTACATTGGCAGGCCGAGAAAAGCATGATCACAGTCTAAAGTGGACGCGTTCAGTACAGGCTGAAGATACTTTTACCCAGAAGGATGCAGATGTCGCCTGTCTATGATGCATAACTTTGTGCTGTTGGTCTACACCTGCATATACACATTGGATTAGATTTGGAAAGAGTGACTCAGCATCTCCGGCCAATCAACACGCAGAACCCACCGCGCTCAGGGACCGCCCAATTGGGTGCCTGCCATCGTGGAGTGGGGACTCTTGAGCCGCGCATCGAAAAATCTCCAGGCCAGACTATCAAGCCAAGTCACCAGCACGTCGCGACACCGCGTGCGTACTTTGAGGAAACTCGCCCTCGCCGACCTTGGTAACCGAAGCGGACGGACACACACGGCCATGAGCGTCTCGAGACCAGCGGCACGCCGCCTCGTCGGCCGCTGCCTGAGCCAGACGCGAACACAACCACCCTCCTCGACCCCCTACGCCGCCGCTGCCGCCGCCGCCGCTCAATGCCTCCCGTTCCACAGCTCCGCATCATGCTCCAAGCCTCGGCGGTCGCAGTTCCGCAACGTCAAGGCGTCGGAGCTGGGCCTCACGAATGCCGAAACGCTCCAGGCGTACAAGGCGGACAAGTTTGGCGAGCTGACGCCCGAGGAGCTGGACAAGCTTCGGCAAAAGTACACGCCCGAGCAGATGGAGGCGCTCCTGGCCGGCGAGAAGGCCGTCGACCCCGACGACATGATCTTCCAGGGCCGCCTGCGCGACGACATTCACCGCCCGACGTACATGGACGACTACGCCGTCATGGACCCGCGGTACGACGTCAAGCCCGAGGCCAAGATCACCGCCGACGAGCCCCTGTTCCCCACCGAGCAGGAGTACATGGAGGCGCAGTACAAGAAGATGACGGACCTGGCGACCAAGTCGACCAACGACATGATCTCGCGGAGCCTGCTGCGCGCCATGCGCAAGGTGCGCCGCACAGAGGCCGGCATGGACACCATGGACCTCACCGAGGCGGAGCTCGACGACATGGAGCGCGACCCCAGCCTGATCGAGAGGTACGTCGCCAAGCTCGACGAGGACGGCGTCGAGCGGTACGCCGACGACATGGACACCGCGGCCGCCAAGGCCAAGGGCGCCCTCACCCGCGGCCAGGCGACGCGGCTGAACGAGGAGATTGACGCCCAGTGGCAGAAGGAGTTTGAGAGCATCTTCTCCGAGGACAGCTACGAGCTCCTCCGGCCCGCGCAGGCGGACCTGGCCAAGGACGCCCCCGACGGCCTCATCCACGCCACGACGGCCGAGCAGCCCGACACGGGCAAGATCCCCGGCGTCGAGGGCAAGTTCCGCTCCGAAGAGGACCCGGACGACCTGGACGGCCGCTACGACCGGTACAAGAAGACGAGCGGGCTGTCGGTCAAGACTATCCAGAAGCTGTACACAAAGATCCTCGCCACGCGCAACGTCGCCAACCAGACGCGTCTGGGCAAGGTGCGCAAGGCGTCCGTCATCGTCCTCGCCGGCAACGGCCACGGCCGTCTCGGCATTGGCATGGCCAAGTCCATTGAGCCCGGTGTCGCGCGCGAGGCCGCCATGGGCCTCGCCATGCGCAACATGCGGCCCATTCGGCGCTACGAGAACAGGACCATCTACGGCAACGTCACGGCCAAGCTGAGCGGCACCGTCGCCGAGCTGCAGTCGCGCCCGCCCGGTATGTTCCTCCATCTTTCGCAACAAGAAGAAAAAGAAGAAGAAAAAAAAGAAGGAAAAGAAGAAAGAAGAAGGGCTAATCTAATTCCTCTAGGCTTCGGACTCCGTGTCCCCGCCCGCATCTTCGAAATGTGCCGCGCCGTCGGCATCCAGGACCTCAGCGTGCAGCTGCCCCGCTCCAAGAGTCCCATGAACTCGGTCAAGGCCTTTTACAAGGCTTTGCTTGAGCAACCCGACCCCGAGGAGATTGCCATTGGCCGCGGCAAGAAGCTGGTCGACGTGCGGAAAGTGTACTATGGCGGGTCGACGGCGTGAGGGGCGTTGCTGTTCTTGTTGTCACGTACGTGTATATCATATATCATTAGAAGAAGCCTGTACAAGAAGCGGAGGGCCCCCCAGCCTCACGCGTGTAAACTAAATACGCCACCACGGTGCGAATGAGGTCTCGTGTGTCTCCTTGTGGGTATCATTGCTCCTCCTGCTGCTGGCCGCCACCGCCCCAGTCAATCTCCTGCTGCAGCACGATGCTGTACACACTGGCCTTGAGGAGCGTAAACGCCAGGCTCGTCTTGCGCTCCAGGTCGCGCAGCCCATCCATAATCTCCGCCGTCGGGTTCGACGCGAGGTCGTCGAGTGTGGAGGCGAGCTAGACACAGCGTCAGCATTCAGTTCAAGGGCTCATGGTCGGATAGCCGGACCTTTTTCATGTTCTCCGCCAGCCGCTCATATTCCTCCAGCACCTCTTGCTGCAGCGGCGTGAGCTCGGGCGGGGCCAGGTGCGAGGAGCCCGGCTCCATTGTGTCAGTCGTTGGTCCTGAATCCCTCGATGGAGGAGGCTGGCAGGTCAACGACGCGTGCTCAGTTGAGTTTGTTGAAGCGAGTTGAGGTTGAATGCGTGGTGGGTCCCTTGTGTTTGTATGGACCGACCCCACATGACAAGACATGACATGACATGACATGACCTGACTGACACTCATCACTCATCACTCAACATGCTTCATGTTCGTTCCTCGACCTGAACATGCAAATAGATATATCGCTCACTACCAATAATATAACATCATCCCTGACAAACCACGACGCCAGTACAAACACACAGACATTCCGTCATACAGTCATCAATCCACCACCGTCCCCCTACTGCCCATATACCACCATGTCACCCGCACCAGGCTCACTCTCCCCCAAGTCTGTCGCCGCTACAGAGCTGCCCACGACGCTCGCCGTCCATTCACTCGCCGTGTCATCATACTCGGAGCCCGTGTACAGGTCCGTGCTGCCCGTCATGTAACTGCTGCGTCGCAACGTCCCCGCGTCGCTCTGGTCGTCCGTGGCCACCTCCTCGCTCAGGGCCGACTCGGTCGCCGGGTTGCTAAGCAAGCCGGGCGTCTCGCCCTCGTCCACTTCCACAACCGTCTCCTTGACGCCCAGGTTCTCCTTGTCGGCCTCGGCAGGGACCACGTCACCGCCCCAGCTGCGCTTGCGATACGACTTGGCACCGCCCACACCACCAGCGGGTGTCCTCACACTCTGACTCCTCTTGACACCGCCAGAGGACACATTGCTGTTGATCTGCCCCAGAGAGGCGATGCGGCGCGACGCCCCCGTCTGGCCTGCCGGCGCGAGGTTCCGCTTGCCCGACAATGCCATGTTCAGCACCGGCTTGGGCGACGGCTTCGCAGTCGGCGTCCCCTCTGCTGCCGCCGCCGGCTTCTTGACGCGCTTCCTGTTCATCGAGTCCGTGCTGTTCTTGGTCGCCTTGGACATGAGGAGCACCCGTGACTGGTCCATGACGCTCTCCATTATCCGCCTCTCCAGACGCTCGCCTCGGGCCTCCACCTCAAACAGCTCCTCCTTGCGCAGTTGCAGCGCCGTCTCCAGCGACGACACATCACCCGTTAGGCGGGTCTTCTGTCTTATTAGGCTCTCCTGTTCCGTGCGCAGTGTCACGACGTTGTTGCGCAATCTCTCCTCCTCATCCCGGAGGCTGCGTACCGATGCCTCAAGATGGTCATGCTCGCCTCGCTTTCGCTCGAGCGAGACAATGGTGTCCTGCAGCGTCTTTTCGCGGTCCTCGTGCTCGTCGGTAATCCGTTGGGTCTGGATGCTGAGAAAGGCAGCAATGTCGGCCGCTGTCCTGGCAACAGCCTCGTGTACCTTGTCCAGCGTCTCGAGCTGCGTGAAGGCCTGCTGTGTCGAGTCGCTGTACGTGACGAGCTTGTCCAGCTTTTCGTGGACGACGGTATCGTCATACCTGGCCTCGACGAGCTGGTCAAGCTTCTCCCGCACGACAGCGTCATCGTACTTGGATTCGACAAGATTGTCGAGCTTCTCACGGAGCTCGCTATCGTCGTACTTGCCCTCAATCAGCTGATCAAGCTTGCCACGGAGCTCAGTGTCGTCGTATTTGCCCTCGACAAGCTGGTCCAGCTTCTCGCGGAGCTCTGCATCGTCGTACTTGCCCTCAATGATCTGGTCCAGCTTGCCACGCACCTCCGTGTCGTCGTATCTGCCCTCGACAAGCTGGTCCAGCATCTCGCGGAGCTCGCTGTCGTCATACCTAGCCTCAATGATCTGATTAAGCTTCTCGCGAAGCTCGCTGTCGTCGTACTTGGCCTCGATAATCTGGTCCAGCTTCTCGCGCAGCTCCGTGTCGTCATACTTGAGCTCGGCAATGACATCCAGCTTCTGACGGAGCTCGGTGTCATCGTACCTGGACTCTACGAGGCAGTCCAGCTTGGACAGGACCGCGGTATCGTCGTACTTCTCAGGCGGAGGCGGCAGAAGGGGCATCTCAGGCTTGGCCTCCACAATCTTCTCCTGAATGTCGGTCGTCGATGTCTTGGAGTGCTCGTAATGCTGACCAACAAGGGCCAGCACTTCCTGGATCGCCTCGAGAACCTTGGGGTTCTGGTCCGTCACCTCCGTCTTGAGACCCTCCACAAGAGTGACGGCTTCTTGCAGCTGGTCGCGCGTCTGTTGGTGCTCCGCCTTGCCCTCTTCGTGCTGCTCGCCGCCCTTGCTGACCATCTCCTCCACCTTGCCAAAGACGATCTGTGACGCCTCCTCCATCTTCTCCAAGGACTCGGTCACAGACGAGCCGAGCGTGTCCACGAGGAGCTTCAGATCGTCCGCCACCGCTTTTGTGCCGACGACAGCCTCCTCCGTCTCCAGGCTGCGCTTCTCACCCACCGCCATCTTCTCGTCAAAGCCCGTCATGAACTCGTCGTACTTGGTCACCAATTCGGTAATCTTCTCGTCAATCTTGGCTTGGAGTCCCTCGGTCGTCACCTGCAGCTTCTCGTCTGACTCAAGCCGGGCGCCCGCCACAACGGCTTTGGAATCCTCAAACTCGGTCTTCATCGTGTCGAACATGTCCTTGAGGTCGGTACCAATGTTTTCATTCTTGTCAATCTTCTCGCCCATGGTCTCTAGGAGCTTGCCTAGCGCCTCGACGCCCGTGTTGCCGTCCTCAAGCTTGCTTGTGAGCGTCTCCTGGAACGTCTCGAGGAAGGTCTTGACTTCGGTGACCCTGTCTCCGACACTGTTGAGTTCAACGTCCTTTGCCTCGACCAGAGCGGTCGACGACTCTTTGAAGCTCTCAATCTTCTCCTGAGCCTCCCGGACGGCAGTCTCGATGCCGGCAAGGTCCTCTTTCTGCGGCATGTTGTTAAAATCGACACCCTGGAATACATCCAGGATGTTCTTGATCTCGAGCACGACAGTCTCCACGGCCTCCACGTCGGTCTTGGAGACCTTGTCCGTGTCCTCCTCGACCTTCTCAGACTTCTCCTTGACTTCCTCAAAGTCCGTCTTGATTTGCGTAATCAAGGCTTCCAGGGTGGTCAAGTCCTCCTTGCGAGAGACGACGTCGAGCTGGACGGCCATGGCTGACATAGTCTCCCGTGTCTCCAGGATCAGCGTCTCGACAGTGTCGAGATGGTCCTTGCGGACAGCTTGGTCACCGTCCATGAGATCGTCCAGACGTGCCTTGGTGTTGCGCAGAATCGTCTCGATCGCTTCCACGTCGTCCTTGGTCGCTGCATCACCGTTGGCGGCACGTGGCGCATCGTGGGTTTCGTCGTCCTCCACAGTCGCTGCCTTGGGCACCACTGCCGATGTCTCCCGGGTGCTGATCTCCTCAACACCCTGCTGGACGTTGCGCAGCATGTCTTCAAGGCGCGTGAGGTCAGCCTTCTGGACTGACTCCTCCTTCTCCTCCGGCTCCATTGCTTCGAGCTTGATGCGCAACTGTGTGATGAGAACCTCGAGGTTCTTGATGTCGTCCTGCTTCACCATGTCGGCAGGAATCATGGCCTGGTCCATGGATGGCGTGTCCCGAACGGTGGCAACCGCAGCAAGCGCCTGGTCGTTATTGTTCTCGCGGATGGTCTCAATGTCAGAGCGCACAGAGTCGAGGCCAGACTTGAGGGCATCAAGAATCTCGTCATTAGCGGTCAAATCGGCAGGCTTGTGGCTCATTCTGTCGATGCCAGCCTTGAGCTCGTTTAGACCATCATTGAGGGCGTCCAGGATCTCAGCAGTCTCGGATCGAGGGCGGAGGATCTCCTGGCGGAGACTGTTCGCGGCGCTGCTGAGTGCATCCAGAATCTCCTGGTTGTTGCCTTGTTGCTGGGGCGTGGCTGGCACCATGGACGAGTTGACAATCTCACGCAGGCCTTCAAGCTCCGTTTGCAGCTGCTCGCGCGAGCCATCCGCACTCTGGTTGAGTAGGTGCGAGATGTCATCTTTGAAATCCTCCATGGTCCCGGCAAGGCCCTGAAGAAATTCCTCCTGCATGGATCCGCCAGTGGCACGGTCGACGTAGCTCTCAATGGCCACACGCAAGCTCTCGAGCCCGTCCTTGGTGGCATCCAGAACCTGCTCCGTGTCGCGGCCGTTGGCTGCCACATTGTCTTTGGCTTCCTGAGAAACGGCCTTGAACTCGAGCTTGATGTAGCCGATGAGATCTTCGAGACGGCTCATAATCTCCTCGTTGTTGTTACCACCAGCTGGTACCAAAGCTCCTCCACGGGGTATATCCATGTCATTCAGACCTTCCTTGACGGCGTGGATCATGTCCTCCTTGGTGATATCGGGTGCCCCGATGGCCGATGCAGCCACCGGGAACTCAAACTCCTCTAGACAGTCTCTCACTGCCTCAATGATCTCATCCCTGGACATCGAAGCAGGTGTGTCGACCTGGGGAGGGGTGAAGTGCTGGAGGCCCTCCACCACGGCTGTGAACACCTCGTCACGGGTCGCTCCGCTAGGACGCTCGTCGCGCGGTGCATACTCGCGAAGACCCTCTTGCAGGCAAGCGAGCACTTCGTCGCGCTCCAGACCCAGCTGTTGGACCTCAATCTCGGGCTTGTATGTCTCCCAGGCGTCGCGTACAGCTTCAATCACATCATCCCTGCTCAGATCGGGCATGTTGCTCTGGGCGGCCTCGTTGTCGCGGAGCGCAGCCCGCATGGCATTGTAGATTTCCTGGTAGTCGACCAGGCTTTTCGAGGTAGCGGCGGATTGCGCCGATTGACGGCGGTGCTCGCGAAGGACGTGATTAAGCTGATCCTTCATTTGCTCCAGGCCCTCGTCGATGACCCGCGAAACATCGTCCTTGCTGGGTTGGTCGCTCTCCTCGATGCCCCTGTGGCCAACTTGCTCCAGACGCTTGCCAATCTCACGGCCCATTCCCAAGACCTCGCCTCGGAGCTCCCTAACCAAGGCTTTGACCTCCGCGGTGAGGCCGCCGCCCTGAGCGACACTGTCCTTGACGGAGCGAATGATCTTGATCAGGTCCTCATTCAGGATCTCCGCCCCATGAGCAGGTGCAGATGAGCGTCGTCCCTCGTTGTGGAGGATGGCGTCAACGCGCGACGACAAGTGGCTGGCCCCGGGATTAAAACCAGCCTGTGATTCTCCGTCTTCGTAGCTGAACGCCCTGCCGCGATCACCCATAGGGGGACCTCGGGTGATGACAGCATTCTCTGCCTGGGCCTGGATCTCACTGACCAGCTCCTCGACCTTGGACGCGGTCGCCATGCCCGAGAGCTTGGTAGATACCTCTGCCAGCCGGCTGATCAAGGTATCCTGACCCTCTTTGGTCCCCATGTCGCGGATGATTTTCTCCAGGAGGGTTATCGAAGCCGATCCATCGCCGCCAACGAGAGACGGGGTGCTCACTGACCCTCTGTCGATGGAGTCCGAGAAGCTCTTTGGTGAAGGGATTCGAGGGAGGTGGAAGCCACGGCTTCCCGGTGATGCGATGTTGTGCGGTTTGTTGTCAAGGTACAGACCACCATACTGCGGGCCGGAGGTGATCCTGTGAGACGTCTCGTTGACGCTACCGAGGAGGTCTCGCAAGCTTTTCCGGATGTCCTCGTCTCTCGTGTTAGTAGCTTCCTTGAGGCTGAGAAGATCGGTCGCATTATCCCTGCTCCTGCGGCTCAGGGCAGACATCTCCTTCTGCAGAGATGTGGCAATGTTGGTCAGACTTAGAATCTGGGCCGACAGATTGTCTGTAATCTGAGGCTGCTTGGACCCGGCGGTGGCGCCATTTGTGACGTTGGAGAGCGGCGGCTCAGAATCCGCCCGTGATGTTTGTGAACCCATGGTCTGCAGTGCCAGCATCGTAGAAGACTGAGGTGGCGTGTTCTCGCCAAGAATGCTCTGCGGAGGGGGTCGACGGACAGTCGGCCGGACGATGGGCGTCAGACTTGATCCCGGCATCGGTCCCAAGCTGAGGGGCTCCTTGGTTGGCGAGCCTCGCTCTGAGAGCCCCTCTTGGTCGTTCTCTTGGTCTCTGTGGCGGATAGGTGTTGGTGTCGCTGTTGAGGAACGGGTGTGAGGAAAGTAGGACTTTTCGAGCGACTTCTCCGGCGACTTTGATGGAGAAGTGGTCGGACTCTGCGTAGCGCCCTCGAGCATGAGACTGAGGCCTCGGACAGAACCAGGCTGCAGTGTCTGCGTGCGTCGGTGTGACGAGCTGCTGTGGCCGGTCGGGGTCCTTTCGGGGGAGAAGTCGTTCATTCGTTTCGGGACATGAGGCACCAGGGCAGCACTCTCCCGGGCTTTCTCGTTAAGGGCTGCATGGGCCGACTGGATCGCGCTCGAAGTGCCGACTCGGGACGTCAGACTCGGTGACTGGGGGTTCAAGGGCAACGGCGGCGGCGCGCGCTCGGGGTCTGAACTGTCCCACCTGTCGTCGGTTCGTGTCAGTTTCCGTCAGAGGAGCGTTTGGTGCTTTGCGTGGGAGAGTGATAAACAAGACAAGACGTACATTGGCACAAGAGCCCGGGAGCCCTGGTCTGACGATGCGGAATGCGAATGTCTTAGGCACTGTTGCCCTTCCTGAGGGCTTTCCCTCTCGTAATGGGCCATTTCTGTGCGTACAAGAATGGAATGAAGATGATGCGGTGTCGAGGAATGCGGACAGCACCGCCGCCACGCTCGTGGAGAACGTCTCGAAGGGTGCTCCAGGCGGTTAATGGTTCAAGAGGCTTGCCTCGCCTCGCTTGTTGCCTGCTGTTGCTTCGCAATAAATACAGCTATGGCGTATCGAGAGGAGTTGTATTGCTAAAGGACTCGCGAACAGCAGAGAAATGTGTATGATAGATGGTGGATTTTGGAGTCAAGTAGCGGCGGGTGTGTTTGCATGGGTTTATGGATGCGCTCAGATTGTTGTCGATCCGCCGCGGGTCGCCGATGCGCGCACCGCCAGCCGTTGCCCAGCAACCACACCTGGAGCTACGTACATATAGGCACCCATCATCATGATGCTCCTCACTAGAGCCACGTCAATGGCACATGCAGCTGGTATTGTTAGGTAGCTCGCGGGAAAATATCGCCAAAGCAGAGCGGTCTGGAGTGAAGCGGCACTTGATTCGTGGTCCTGCGTCAGGTCTATGCTACAGAGCAGGGAGTCTTCTCTATACAGTCCAGCGCGTCGGTAATTAACGCGCCGCTCTCTGTACCCTTTAAAACCGTACGTGTACGTACGTAACCCCATCAACCCAGTCCCAAGCCATTAAAAAAATTCTATAACCCCAATTAAAGACCGGTACATCATAGCGCGCCGTTGGAAGAGTGGGACTCGACGCTTCTGGGTGGCTTTGCCTCTGTGCTGGCTCGGTTCAGTTGCTCATGTTCTCGCGCCAATGTCGGCGATTACTTGCGGAAGGCAGTGTCAAAGGCTGGGATCAGAGTCTGTGCAAGCCAGAACGAGAAGACAAGCTTGGGGCCGGTCATGAGCAGCTACGCGCCGTCAGCATTCGTTGTCGATCAGCTCAATCAGCGGGACATACCTTGGGCACGAGGCCCTTGAAAAAGGCCGAAACACCCTCGTTCTTGGCCATGTTGGCCATAATCCTCATACCGCTCTCGGGGTTCTCAAAGTTACGGTTCTGAATGCGCGTCTTGATGACATCGAGGGGCGCGGATACAACGAGCGAGGCAGAGGCACCGGCAATGGAGGCGATAAAGTTCTGGAACCACGTCGCCTTGTTGTAATCTTGCAGGTGGAAGAGGTATTCCTTGGCGAAGGCCGAGCCACCAAAGAGCTGTGCTCGTCAGTCAGCGCGAGATCACACTGGCACCGGGGTGGAGAGAAACTCACCGCAAAGGACCCAGGGGCATTGCGCGCAGCGGTCCAGCCCCAACCGCGGTACAGGTTGAAGCCCTCGTCACCGATGATCTTGAGGACACCACGGCCCTTGAAGGCCTCTGGATTTGTCTGACGCTTGATCTTCAGCACGTCGAGAGGGAGGAGGACAATCTCTCCAATACCGACAAGGCTGCTTCCGTCAGTGCCCAGTCGGCGAAATATCTTGAAGCCGCAACGCACCTGCCAGCAGTCGAGTGCATGATAGCCTTGCCCGTCTTCTTGCCGAACGCGCTCTCAAAGTCCTTGCCGTAGTGCTTCCCCAGGTAGTCTCGCGCGACGGGCTGACCGCCATATTTGTAAACACGCTGGAGAACCTTGTAGCCAGCGGCATACCCCAGGCCGGGGAAAAGGGACAAGAACTTGCGTGCAGCGGGTGCGTTTGCCTTGTCCTTGAAGATAACCTGGTTCAGCTGCGATGCGCCAGACACCTTGGTCTGGTTGCTCATGAGGCGCTTCGCGATAGTGTCGACCTAGCTACGAGTCAATAGGCAGTCGGGGGGGAGGTCGAGATCTTCAGTTTCGGAACGCACGGGATGGAAGACAGCCAACTCAGCAATACCAGCGGAACCTGTGGGCATCTTGTCAGTGACTGGCCGGACTATACGGGCGGAAGCTGGATAAGGCCATACCTGAACCAAGCACGCGAGCCAACCCCGACTCCTTCTCCCGTCCAGCGACCATAGGCGGAGACATTGTGATGGCGATGCAATTGGCGACTCGGTTCGATAAAGGAGTGTTGTAGTAAATGTCAATGTCGCTCAGAAAAGGGCACGGGCTGGCGAGCGCTACTACGGGACGAGGTTGCGTAGTACGCGTTAATTCTCAAATGTCCAGTCGCTCAGGAACTGGAAACTGGAAATTTTCCAGGGCCGACGTCGGGCGACCAGCTGTAGCGTCAGGGGTCCACCCGCTGAAGGGCCAAGGCTGAAGCGCTGGCGATAAGAGTGACCCTCACTCGGGCGGAACCGGTGCACATCTAGAGCCCATGTGCGATGGGTTACCCGGAGGCAATCACATGCTCAACAGCTCCCGTCTTTGATCTTACCTGTCTATGCCAAGTACCCTATGATCTAACCCTCCTGTTGCTACAGTACAATCCTAGCAAGATAGAACCATCTGGTTGGCCTGTATATGAAGTCAAGGCAAGCTTTCAGCGGCGCCCATATACCCGAGATGTAGTGAGACAGTCAACGCCACACAAGACAGTGCAGAATGCTGAAATCCACCAAACGAGGTACAGCACACGATACCGCTAGATCATTGACATTGGTATCCTTTTCCAATCCGCTGCGAACGCGCAGCATGATATCCTACACATAACAAGGCAGTACATTATTCAGTTCGCGCCGACAACTGGGTCCAAGGACCCTAGAAATCCCTGAACACCGAAATCATGTTGTCCAACCGCATCACCTGCCCCAGCAGCATCTCCTGTCTTTCAAGATGCCGGTTGTATCTCTTGAGGTAGTCATTCCCCATGACTTCCTCTTCCTTTCCCTGGACATCTTTGCGCTCCACAAACGAGAGAATGTTACGCTCCTTGTGGCGCTCCACCTGTAGGGTCTGCAGGGCCCGGAGCATCGCCTTGTACACGTCGTCCAACAACTGGGCCTGCGTGCGCTCCCCGTCAAAGAACCAGAGAAAGATCGTCCGGTTGGCCAATCGGCTACTGTCCTTCGGCACCTCTTGTATGTCCACCAGCCCGGCCATCTGCAGTGCCAGCATCTTCCCTTGCACGTCGGGCTTTCTCATGAGCGCCGCCGAGTGCAGCATCTTCTCGTCCAGTTTGCCCTTCTCTCGGAGGATCCGCGTCAGGCGCAAGCCATAGCGACCGTGTGACTGCTCAATGACAGCGTCGAGCTCCGACTCGCGAACATGATCCATCAGTTGCGCAAAGTCCACGGTCCACTGACCTCGTCCATTCGTCCCGCAGTGCCGAATGAACTTGTGCTTGCTCTCCTTGAGAAGGAGCAGGTGCTGTCGCAACTGATCCAAGCGGCTGGCTGGCGCTGAGTCTTCCTTGAATTTGACTTTGGTTTGGCGATGACCGTTTGCTTGTGAAACTGATTTGGTATGTGATGCTCCATTGGCATGATCGTCGCCTGACTCGTCTTCGTCGTCGTCATCATCTTCATCGTCGTCGTCGAGGCTGATGCCGGATCGCGATTGCCGATGACTTGTTTGCTCATTGTCCGACTCTTCGGACTCATCGTCGGACTGTGGAGGGTTTACCTTTGTCTTCTCCGCACTTGATTGGTTGATATTCTCCTTCTTTACTTTGCCTACCCCGTAACCCACATCGATAGAGTCGTCGAGGTGGTCGAGTATGTCGAGAGTGGTAGTGGCAGCAGGTGGCGGCGGAGGGGTCTCGTCTTCAACCATGGTGTCTGGCCGGCACTGGGATACTTCCAGAGTAAGGAGGCCCAGCAGAACTCGGTAGATTTCCCCGGTCACGTCACCCAAGGCATCGGCTGCGAAATTCGCCAGGGAGTGGTTTCGGAGCTCGACCAGGCATTTCTGGTGGTTGACCCGGACGATCATGTTCGGCTAGCTTCAGGTTAGAATCACAGACAATCACCCGAGGGCATGGTTCGCAATGACTTACAGCCAGCTGGGGGACATGCTGTAGGCCGTCCTCATCATCGTAGTCTGCACTGGCAGCGTGGCCATTCTGGAGTTTCCGTTTCTTGGATATCCTGCCTCGTGATTGATCCAACTGCCTTTTGACGCCCTTGCTTTGTTCGCGAAATGTACGCCATCGATTGATAATTTGTTGTTGTTGTTCATGTTTGGTGCCAGTGGCTTTCTCGCCCGGCGCGATCTTGGTAGCCTCGGTCTTGATTTCGTGATACACATCGATCGGGTTGCGGAAAGAGTCGGCACGCACGGTCTCGACAAGATCAGCTTGGATAAGCCGACCCAGAGTGACGTAGAGTTCGTTGTCGGAAGAGACCATGCCATTCGTGTGGCCATTCGTTCCGTTTGATCGGCTGCTCACTGATGCGTTTCTCGAATCGAACGCCTGCTTCAGATCTCCGATCCGGGCATGTCCGAGCTGGAGCAGAGTCTGGATCACGTCACGTTCCGATGAACCAAATTGTCTGTCGACCATGTCAAGGATTTTGCCCGTTCGAATGAGGTTGTAGCAAGCTTCCGGGTTGGCGTCGTAGGAGGCGACCCTTGTCTCGTTGTCGATGCGGGTATAGAGGAGGTTATGCTGAAATAGGACGGCGAGACCATTGCGCAGGTGTCGCGCACCTAGCGACGTGTGTCGACCGAGCTGGGTCACGTTGCATCGTCCTTTGGTGAGTAGAGCTGTGAGGATACGCTGCGTGGACGACGTCAGTCGCGGGGCTTAGAGGAGCTGCCAGCCCCTCGATGAGGGGCCATCTGGAAGATGTTGCATACCGAAGGAAGTTCGCCGTGAAGATCGCTGACTAGGAGAGCACACAGCTCAGCAGCGTGCTTGGTCTGGTGCGCAATGGTTAGCAATTGGTCCTCGCTTCGGTGGGATGGGCGGATGGGCGGGCTGCTTGGAAGACTCACCACGAGCATACTGCTCCTAGAGATCCTCTCACTATCTCAGGAGCGGTCGCAATTACTACCGTAGCGACATTGATCTCTGGTGAGACACTGCACGTCGAGATCGCGAGTGTTCGAAATACAAGCAATAGCGATGAAGGCGGGAAATTGTTGTCGCTCGACAAGTTGAGATATGTTTTTAATTTTTTGCGAAAGCGCCCACCCACTTGAGGAATGGCCCGCTGCCGAATGACTGGAAGCATTCGGCACCCACCCAAAACTGGCCGGTCGGTACCTCCACAGTGGAGTTATGGCCTTTCAATATCGCAATCAGTCAGTCACTCACATACTACCTTAGAAAAGCGTTGACGCCATGGTAATTAGTCGGGATATCAACCTTTGATTAATTGGGCTATGCAAGCGTCCTATCCCGCAACCTCACAGACATATCTATCAGTACAGCATTGCCCATAATCGCACTGCTTCTCACTTTGTGATTTGCGTCGAGTACGCAGTATAGCCCCAGGGCATAGAGATCTTGTCTTTTGGATGTAATCAAAGAACAAGTCACCCTTTGCACTACCAGTAGTTCATTCCATGTCCGGTTATTGTCAGCATTGTTGGCAATTGGATGGCGGTGGGGATCATAGATGGATGAGCTGGGCCATTTCAACAGCATTCGACTGCTAGCTTTTCCGGTGGAAGTATGACCTGTGCTCGCATGACAGTCGCGACGAGTATGGCTGCTCTGTGATGACTGGAATCGCTTGACGGCTTTGGCATCGAGTTCAGCTCTTGAAATGTTTGGTAGCCGTATTTCCAAAAGACCGAATGGAACTCGTTTGTAGAGCTTGCCTTCGAAATGGTCAGTCTATGATTCGCCGCCAAATGCAGCTCCGGCCCAAAGGCGGTACCCACACCAGTTTCCCAGTTTCCCAAAGTCACGTGACTCCTTCCGCTCCGAAAATTAGACGGGAAGCTTTTCGACGAGGCACTTCTTCTGGCGATCAATTAACCCGTCACGACGGCTAACGGACGTCAATTCCCTACGACATCGACATCGACCTCGATTTCGACCATGATCTCGAGAGCAGCCCTCGCGCGCAACGCGCAGCAGGCCGTCCGCCGGTCCTGGGCGGCTCGCCCTGCGCAGCAACGAACCTTCGCTTCCGCTGCATCCTCGTCTGGCGCCTTCGAGACTTCCGACGTCTCGGGCCTCAAGGTTGCTTCGCGTGATTCTCACGGCCCTACGACCAAGCTCGCTATCGTTGCCAAGGCTGGTACACGCTTCCAGCCACTGCCTGGACTGACCGTCGGTCTGGAGGAGTACGCGTTCAAGGTGAGGCAACCGGGATGTTCATATGCGAAGAATCCGACCCGACTGACGCTGGCGTAGAATACCCAACGCCGAACTGCTCTCCGAATCACCCGCGAGTCCGAGCTTTTGGGTGGTCAATTGGCTTCCTCGCACACTCGCGAGGCCCTCGTCCTCGAGGCCAGCTTCCTCCGCGATGACCTCCCTTACTTTGCCGAGCTCCTGGCCGAGGTGGTCTCCATGACCAAGTATACCAGTAAGAATTGAGGCAGGCTGTTTTCGGGCGTTTAAGCTAATCCCCGTCAGCTCACGAGTTCCACGAGGAGATCGAGCCCGTTCTGCGCATCAAGCAGAACAACTTCTACAACAACGTTGCTGCCCTTGCCCTCGACAACGCCCACTCGGTTGCCTTCCACACTGGCCTGGGTTCCTCCGTCTACCCCACCCCTTCGACGCCTTCCAAGAAGTACCTGAACGAGGAGTACATTGCTAGCTTCGCCGACGCTGTCTACACCAAGCCTTCTCTTGCCCTCGTCGCCGACGGCGCCAGCTCGCAGGATGTCTCCAAGTGGGTCGGCGAGTTCTTCAATGACGTGCAGTCCTCTGCGCAGTCTGGCCAGAAGTTTGACGCTACCGCGACCAAGTACTATGGTGGTGAGCAGCGCACAACCCACACCGGTGGCAATGCCATGGTCATTGCTTTCCCTGGGTCCGCCTACACTGCGCCCAAGCCCGAGGTCGCTGTCCTGGCCGCTCTCCTCGGCGGCCAGTCCTCCATCAAGTGGTCGACCGGCTACAGCCTGCTCTCCAAGGCCACTTCGGACGTCGTTGGCCTCAACGTCTCGGCTTCTAACATCCCTTACTCTGATGCCGGCCTTCTGGCCGTCCAGCTGTCTGGCTCGGCTGCCTCTGTCCGTGCCGGTGCTGAGGCTACCGTCAAGGCTCTGGAGAGCATCGCCAACGGCTCCGTGCCTAAGGAGGAGGTTGCCAAGGCGGTCGCCAGTGCCAAGTTCAATGCTCTCGACGCTACACAGCTCCGCGAGTCTAGCCTCCACCTGGTTGGCTCCGGCATTGTCAACACTGGCAAGGCTTACGAGCCCGCCAGCCTTGTTCACGGAATCGAGAAAGTCTCTGCCGAGAGCCTGAAGACTGTAAGTAGCTATCCAATCTTGGTCTCACACATTCCCACTGACCCTGATCATAGGCTGCCAAGGCTCTCCTCGAGGGCAAGGCCTCCGTCTCGTCCGTCGGTGACCTCTTCTTGTTGCCTTACGCTGAGCAGCTCGGTCTGCGGGTATAGATGGGGGTTAGAAGGGCGTGTTTGCTTGTACCAACAGTCAAGGTCGCTTAGATGGGGAGCCATTACCGCTCCTCGTTTGTCCATATCTGTAGAAGATTCCCTTTGTTCACCATTTGCACATGTGACGAGCTCAAAATATTCTTAAATGTGATAAGGTCAGCTAGCTATACGTCTTGGTCAAAGTTATTGAAAAGCTCGGCGAAAAATCAGGCTGATATGTCGGCCCTTGGTCAATATTGTCCTTGTCGCCAATGGTGCGCTGCGTGGCATAGGACGCTTGTATGATGCTTTAACTGCAGCAAGTCACTTACGTATTACTGCGTATTTACTTAGGTAGTTGCGTAGCAATGTAGTACGTAGTAACCACATATCCTTCTGAACCTCAAGAGCGAAAACTGGAACTGTTGCTCTGTGAAAGACGTCCACAGGTCAGCACTCGTCAACCTGGGGACAGTACGATGGAGTCATGGCCGGAAGCAAAGGAGGAAAGACACCGGGAAGGTACGAACCTTGTGCTACCTTATTTGACCATGAGCTGGAATAGAGTTTCGAGCAGTGCGCAACTACTTGGCGGGCGGCCCCTGCGACAGTGATGCAATCAAACACAGTTTTTTACCTGCCATTGCCGTCGAGCAGACAAACTAGTTGTAATGATAGATCATCCTTGTTGAGTGCCTTCATCATAGACCTAATGCTATGTCAGTTATAGTCAAGGCCATCGGCTGGTGATCATTGATTAGTAGAAATACTAGGTGGTAGTAGTTAATAGTTCCCGTTGGAAAGTCGCTTCTTAGGGTAAGTTGTGGGGGCATGGTCCATGCTTGGCCATTCACAACGCCTTTCCACCAACTGGACACTAAGCTCAACTTAGCTGGACTGCGAAGGGGGGGAAACAACCACGAAGCAAGAAGAAAGGCAAAGTATCCCAAGCGTCACACCCACCACCGCACTGCACCGCATCACTTCCTCGTCAAGAAGTCCTCGCCTTCCACCGAGCCGATTGCGCACGATCGCAAACATCACTCCGCTTCTACACACAAACAGCAAGGCTGGACGCTGCTGTCTCTGTTCCTTCTTGGCGCTCTCCTCCCACACAGTCCTCTCTCGTGGCTGTTCCCATTGTCCATGGGCGCTCCTTGACGACACGACACCTCTGCTTCACTCTGCATTGCGCTCCGACAGAAGCAAGCGACCGCGCCTCGCCATTTTCCTCACCACTTCATTTCCAAGTCTCTCGCTTTTCGACCCTTGATTATCTTTCCAACGAGGTAAGCTCGCTTTCCGAGGTGTGCGGTATGGCGAGGCCGGTTTTTGGACTCCAGCTTCAGCTTCCCACGAGACCCGGCTCAGGTGCCGGCTGATTCGCATATGCTTCGATTGGCGTCGGCTGCACTCTCTGTCGTCGAGAATTAGGACACAAACTCACGCTAATACCACTAGATATAGGACCAGCTGTTAATGTTTCCACAAGTACGACTACGTCTGTGACCGTCGAATCAAGACCGAGTTGGTGGCGCCTTAGAGTAACACAGAACGACAGCCGTTCCGACACCAGGTTTGTCCCACCAGAGTCCCCGTCCCTATCACTGCAAGGCTCTCGACTAGCCTGCTCTCTCCAGTAGAGCCTACGCACCACCTAAAGTAATTGACGGTGGGGAGACGGATCTTCTCTCTCGCGAGAAGCTCCGAATCCAACTCGCTCGGTCAAATTGATCTTTGCGGACCTTCCCCCCAACCCTTCCTATGCGGCCGTTGTCTCAGATTCTATTTGCGTTCCGGAGAGGACTGCTTGCTAATTATTTGTGAACGTCTAGCGTGAGCGCTTCATACTTGACCCGGTAAAGACACACCCTTTTCTTCTCTACGGTCGAAGCCACTATTTAGCTTGGCCGGACTCCTCCGCATGACCCATCGAAATCGAGCTTTCACTGTACACACATAGCCATAATCGCAAATTTCGCCGGATTATGCCTGGTGGAAAGAAGGAGGGCTCGGCAGGTGGCCGTGGCCAAAATGGTGAGTGGTCTTGCACTCTGTCAGCTACGGCCTGCGTTTCTAAACTTTCTTGCAGGAAATCGTGGAGGATTTCGAACGGATTCAGCCATCTCGAACAACCGGTTTGGCCAAGAGAGGGTATTACAACCATGGGTGCCCGATGCCAACGACGCTGTCGATGGCAGTCTCGAGAGGTCATCAGGCAGTGGTGCTGGTGGTAGCAGCGGCGGCGCGTGGGATCAATTTGCCGAGAATGAGAAACTCTTCGGATTGAAGTCCGATTACAACGAGAACTACTACACTACATCGATCAACACAAACGACCCCCGGTACAATGAGCGGATGTCAGCTGCCGATAGGAAGGCTCGGGAAATCGAACGCAGTGAAGCAACCACCACACATGTCGCTGAAGAACGACAGATG